AGTTGTGAGAAAGTAGGCACAAGTCCCACAGGTTGGTTTCGTCCCTTTACTTACTCCCATAAAGGAAACTCTGCCAAGAAACCACCCCAAAATGTGTTCAACGAAACAAGCAAGAGAGCCTCAAAAAGGACGCCCTCAAAAAGGAGGCCTTCATATATATATATATATATATATGTACATATATACCGGGAATACTCAGGTTTTTGGCCAGAAATTGACATGTTGGCTGTAAAATGGGTGCAAAACACGCATTCCAGCTTCTAAAATGAGGCTCTAAAAAATGCACTCGTTTTTAGACTTAAATTCTAGCAGCGGTACTTAGTGCAATCCAGGATGTGCTAGCACGTGCTAGCACATCTTGGATTGAAGATTGAAGATTGAAGATTCTCAGACCACTTGTTCTGGAAATCTTCAATCCGTCTTTAGGACTAACTGATATGTGCTAGCACGTGCTAGCACATCCTGGATTGAAGATTGAAGATTGAAGATTCTCTGACAACTCTCTCTGGGATTCTTCAATCTTCAATCTTCAATCTTCAATCCAGGATGTGCTAGCACGTGCTAGCACATACCAGTGTCCTCAGGATGGATTGAAGATTTCCAGAACAAGTGGTCTGAGAATCTTCAATCTTCAATCTTCAATCCAGGATGTGCTAGCACGTTCTAGCACATGCTGGATTACTCTAAATTTCAGAAAGAGTTGTCAGAGGATCTTCAATCTCCCATCCAGATCCTGGATTGCCTTAAGTGCGGATTTGAAGAATCCAAAAGGCAGACAGGGAGTGCACGTTGTCAGAATCAAAATGTGGATGTGCACTTGCACTGCCTGCAATTGGCCAGGGGGAAAAATGTTGCTGACACCTTTACAGTTTTTTTGTGGACTTGAGGGCTGGCCAGGATGGAAGATTCTCAAATAGAAAATCTGGTAGATCTTCAATCTTCAATGCAGGGGGCGAAACCTTAATGAGTCTAGAACAAACTGTCAAGTTTTTGGGGGACCAGGATTGAGTATATTCTAAACATATGTTTGTGGAATCTTGTATATTCTATCTTCGATCCAGGGCAACACGATCTGAGCAAATGCTGAAAAACCGCGTTTTACAGCATTTATGCAAAGAATAGGATCTATGATTGAAAACACTTTTCTGTCATTGGCTTGGCTCAGTTCTTGCTTGGTTCAAACCACAGGGAGTTCGATAAGGACAATAACCCATTCAAAATTGAGTTTGATTCCAAATTCATTTGGCCATGACAATAGCTATCATCTCCAGTTTCTTGTTGAAATGCACAAGAAACTGCAAACGAGTAAACTTGAATCTGGTTTGAACTCGAAAGCTTTTTAACTGGATAGTCTTCCCTTACTTGAATTTCAATAGTTGTTCTTGGCGATGATGGAACCAACTTAGACAAGCAACACACACATACACACGTGGGATAGTTGCTTTGCAACATATGTTTCAAATAGGCTGAACTAGCATGTCAGGAATTATGCACGACGCTCGAATTAGCATGTAAATGCAACTGCGCAAGGACATGAATTAGGAATGAGTTCCTTTTCCCCGGGTTGATGTTTTGCTGAATTTCGCTGCCAAACAAAATTAATAAACACCAAATAATAGGGCTGCTACAGGCGCGTTGAAGCTGCCAAAACATACTTCGCGCACTACTCCTGTACTGAACAGTTGTGCTTTTTGAGCTGGAGCTGCCAAATTGCACTTTGCATACTCCAATGTGACTTTAAGTGCACTTCGCGCACGCCAATGTGACGGTCACACAACTCGCAACTCCTAATCAACGTTGAGCTTAACCTTTGCTTGGTTAGAATTTGCATGGAGTTGAGTGTCCAGTTCAGGCATTTGTCACCCCCAGTCTGGCCAAAAACCTCAGTTCTGCCCAAAAGCCTGAGTATTTCAAGGGGGGGTAGCATATATATATATATATATATACATATATATATATATATATATGTACACATAAGTGATGGTTTTAATCCCTTTAGATCTGGATGGGCGGAATGGCCCCTTGTGCGAAACCTTCCGCGAAGCTTCCGTGGTGTGAAGGGTACTTGCCGCGAGCATGTTTCTACGATTTGGCTCGTAGTTCTGGCAAGAGCAAATGTAATTGTGGAAGGAGCAAATCAATTACGTCCCTTCTGCGAGCTTTTTGAGGGGGGCAACCTTCCGCAAACCTTCCACGAACCTTCCGCCCCTGCGTGGTGCTGCGTGTGCCACCTTTTGTTGATGTAGCCTCTAGACAGCTTTGCTTGAGGCAAAAAAAGGCCGCCACTGATCTGCTTTCACGGCGCGAAGGGTTCCTAGCATCGCCACGAGGGAAATCAGGCGTCACTGGATTGCCCCTTGAACAGTTGACCAATCTACTGGTTTCCATTGAACCGATCGCCACTTGAGGTTCCGAAAAGGGAAATGGCTCAGAAAAACCCGGTAGAGACCAAGAAATTGCACAACCCTTCAGATCAAGAGCCCATGGGACACATAGGCCAAAACCCTTAAGACCAAAAAACAATGAAATGTGTCTCCTTCTCCTCGTGGGAGCTTGCGCTTGCCGCGTCTTCCTGCGGTTGCTGTTCGCAAACCAGGCGGGTTGTTCAAAAGTCCCAAACAAAGTTTCCTCCACATCAACTAACTTCTTCAACTCTATAAATATTTTGTCTACTGTACAATCTTCTTGAACTAACTCTTGAATAATTGCACTCTTGGGAGGAGGATTCCATGATAAATCTGTAAGGGACAATTTAGATGTGATCGTTGAATTTTAAGGGGCATGCTGACCTCTTGGAATGGAACAAATAATCCAGATGCTACATCTTATTTGGCTGACAAGCGCCGATGACAAACATCTGTGAGGCCACTAGCAAACAAACAGTCGGAAAAGCGATCAAGCACAAATGCACACGTACATGGGATTCCTCTTTTTTTGGCATCCGGACGTATCCGGCATGAAGCTCCAGGGAAATCCGCGCACGCATGATCCTCGACGAATTGATACCCCGAAAAGAGTCGGTGCTTTGGACCTTGCATTCTCTCACGTGTCTCTCGTGGGAAGGTCAAAGAGTCAAAAGTTTCACACCAAACTCATGCCAGCTTCGGCATTGCTAGGACATGAGCACCAAAAAGGGTTCAGTAGCTTAAGTGACTGTGATCATACAGCCACTCACTTGCCCAGTTTGGACCTGGAAATGCAAGGTGAACCTTTTGGAACCTTGGCTAAAGGTAGAGCCAATCAGGGAAATGAAAGGGACAAAAGCTCGATTCGCTTTGGACAAGCAAGGCTATGTTCAAAACGCTTAGTGCATGTGTTTGCTACTTTTCTTCAGTTTTGGTGCTTGGTTGCTGCTAAGTGGAAGGGTGCCAAACTGATTTTGCAAGGCTTTGAACATTGGATCCCTAGGCTCGAAGTATGTGACTGCTCCCTCTCTCCCCGGCACCTCAGCATCTTCCTCCTCCGAAAGAGTGGCAGGCGCCAGTCGACACTGAACAAGGTTACAAAAGAATCGCTTCTCCCCCACTACTTGTGGGCAAAATCCATGTTGACTAGCGCTCTGGACCTGAAGCAGGTTACAAATTCTCCGTTGCAACGCCTCAGCTATTGCCTTTCAGTTGGCGAAAGCTATAGGAAACCATGTGCAGCTGAGCGCAATAACCTCCTCAATGCTGGTTCAACTGGGAGGGTCTTTTTTTTGATGGTACCCCCTTCTGATTGGTTTTAAATGGAAATCAAAAGGAACAGCATCTGTTTTCTGGGCCGAGGGTCCCCTCAGCAAAGCAACACCCAAATAATAGGATACAATGAGTGGTGTCAGGACCCCAATGTCAGAACCCCGTAAGCTGACCACTCTTTCCCCCAGCCATCCAAGAATACCCGCGTTTGGTTTGGTTTGGAGGTGCTCCGGGGTAGCTTCCGATCGACCCTCGAACCAGTGGTTCGGGGTCACTGGTCTGGTAACTTCGATCCAGTTCCCACCAATCCAATCCACCAACTATGTCTCACGGAGGCGGATGCAATGATGCAATTTGGGGGTCCCGCAAAGACCTCGAGAAGCATTTGCCCAGTTGCCCTGGAACATAACTCATGGTCAATACCTGGCATTAAACTGGTCTACCAAGAACCACATTCCGATATATGTACCCATTAAAGGTTGGGACTATTCCTCACTAACCTTCATCTACAAGAATCGGTTTTGATTGTGGCTCAACTCAAGCGTTGGCTGCTAGTGGGAAACAAACTGGAGTTTCCTCTTGCTCAGTCACTGGGGAGCATGGAAAACCGGCGCAAATGGCCAATTCGTGCGGCAGCGGAAGCTCCTTTGCCCGTGCAAGCTCCTGACACGCGTTTTGTTTCTTGTCCGCCCGCACGAGCTTTCCGCAATGGGGCCTCTTGCCATGGTTGCCCAGAAGTGTAATTTGCTGCATTCAGCAGAATCTTGATTGGTGCCTGTTGCGTCTGTGAATGAGCTTCCCTCACAAAGGGTGCGTTGGATTGGTAGGAGAGTTGGGGGGGATTCCCATTTTCTGTATATGCAAGAACCAGGACCAAAAATCCAAACCACCAATTGTCAGGTGGTTTGAAGGTTAGGAATGGTGGCCCCATTTACCCTTCACAAAAGCCTAAGGTTCAAATCCACAAGCCACCAATCCAGACCACCAAATAGGGGTTACCTAAACATAAGGGTTACCTCAGTGACTTCGTCAAAGCTGCGGCTCGGAGATGCCGACAAAACGGGACAGCCCTGCAAAGGGATTCCTCGGGGGGTTGGATACGCCAGCCGCATTTAGAGACTCAAGACACATCCATGCTCATTGAGTTTGTGTATATGTGTATTTGTATATATGTATAATACATGGATATGCCAAAATCTGTAGGGCCCTTGCTTTCATTCAATGTCGGAAAACCAACAGGACGTCAACCACAAGGGAGTAAGCAGTCTCACAGAGCGAAAACCCAATCCTGTTGCAATGAAGAGGAAACCAAAACACCGGTCGCTTGCAAAGGGGCAGTACCACCCAAGCTGCGAGTGACTCAGGCCACACAAATCTGCATTCATTGTTGACTCAAATTCACAAACTGCTTCCCGCAAGTGGTGATGACTTTCGGATCAAGCCCTCAGCGTCCCAGGAAGGTGAAGGATAAGGTAACCTCCAATTCGCTCACTTGCTCTGTGGTTCGTGGTAACATTCACTCATTCCCGGAGCATTTGCTCATGAAAGCCAGCCAGTTGTTCTTACTCGGGCTTACTCTCATTAATTCTCCCCCTCCCCACAAAACAAATAAAACCTGGTGGTCTTCAGAACATTTCGCAATGGGCTTGGAAGGCGAAGCACGACAAATGCGACTTGGAGGAGTCCCAATTGGGCCTCCAGTACTCCGGACTGGGCGAAGCCAACGCCAACCCAAGCCAGGTGCAGGGATGCTTTGGTGCTCCCCAAAAAAGCTTGGAACCAGCAACCACCTCCGTATTTCCCTAGCCTTTTCCCTTTCTCGGGAAAAAACCCAAGCTTCCATTTGCCGAAGCCACCAGGAAAAGTAGTGATAGATTCCCTGTAAAACCCACAAGGGAAAATAAAAGAATCATAAGAATCTTCCTAAGCAAACTGGAAGGCCCGAAAAACGGCCCCAAACTCCCCCACGCCCCACCCCCCAACCGGAGCCGCGTGCCATGCCTCAGCCTCCGCAGCCGCGAGCTTGGCCGCGGCCTCCTTGGCGGCCTCCCAGGGAGCCGACGGAACGAGCCGAGCGCAGGCGCCGCGCGCGTGTTTTTTTGCGCGAGCCGCGGGCAAGGAACGCCGAGTCAAAAAGTTGCTGTTGCTTTTCTTGGCCGCGTGTTTTTTTTGGGGGGTCATATATATACATATATATATATAAAGTAATTATATAAGACGATATGAGTCAGAGTGTTGTGATTGTTTGCTTTTGTTTTTTGAATTATCTTGAATGGTTTTGCTCCAACCAGTCCTGTGGATAGGCTAGAACTCTTGGTCATAATGTCCCTGGGTGAAATGTGCTTGGAATCAGACCACTTTTGGAGGGGCCAAAAACCATCCCCTATACTAATATAAACTGGAGTTGGTTGATGTTTTTGTGAGGTCAACATCAATCAACATCGATGGTTTTAACATGATGTACCTAGTGGAAGGAAGTCAAAAGGCGGATATATGGTTGGGATTGTCCCAACCTTCATCTACCCGGGTTTTGAGTGTGTCTCATATGCGACTGGGATCCTGGCCGCTCTTTTGTTGTCGTTCCTTGCTGTTCTTTGCATTTGCCTTTCGTTGCGGCTCTTGGCATTTTCTGTGTCGCTTGTTGATACTTTTTGGCACATTCTGTTGCTCGCTGCTGGTTGCACGTGTCTGTCTGCGATGGTTTCTGTGTAGATGTTTGCGGGAGCGAAAGCTTGGGGCCGGGAAGCCGGAGAAGCCGGCCGAGCCCCGAAGGTTGGCCAACATGCTGAAGCAAACACGTCTCGCTGAGAAATCGTACGGGAATCGCCCGCGAAGTCCAACCATTGCAAGGCTTTGCACTGCAGGTTCAAGCCCACAGCCTCTGCTGGTTCCATAGGGCAGAGAATGAGAAATGGAATGATCCCTAAAAATCATGCCCGTATGGTTTCCTTTAAGGGAATCCCTAGGTTCACTCCCAACACCCTGGGTCATTCCCTACTGAGCACAGCAAGTCCTGTTGGCAACACAAGAATCGACGGCACAAGTCTGAGGGGCTCGTTGGCATTGAACCGGTCTGCAAAACCACTTGTGGAGAGAAAAAGAGCGAGGCTGGCATCACCATTTCCCTGCGGACGGGGTAAACGCTGAAAAACCAAGTTGTGATGTTCTGAGGCACCTGAATCGTTCAACACAAGCCCTGCCAGCCAGGCCATACTCTGTAGAGGGTTTCGCAAAGGAATTCCACGTCTCAGGTGAGCCTTAGACTTGCTCTTCTCCTCCTTCCCTGCTTTCTCCCGCTTCTCCTGGCGGCTTGTTTTGGCACACCCGCATGTTGATAGACCGGCAATATGGCACCCATGTATACCAGGCAGCAGATAGCACCAAACTCGCCAACCCAGTGCCATCCATGGCTGAAGCATTTGTGGATAGGCTGAGAAAACGCAGAGATCATGGCGCCTCCTTGTGTGGCTTCTCCTTCTTGGTTTTTTCCTCCTGGCTCTCGGCACGATGTTCGGTATGTCGGGATTCATCAATTCTCAGCTGAACTTCAGCGGGGCAAAGCCCTGGATTCCCCGCCATCCTGGCCGATTCTGGCCCATCTACTTTCTGACCCTGAAAACGGCCGCCTATGGCCGCGCGCTGTTTCTTTGGCGAGAGCTATACATGCAGACTCGAGAGGGTTATAACTTTCCATTCCCGATCGGCCTTTAAGTCAGACTTGGAAACCTGCCTGCGACGCAGAACGTGTAAAGTCTATACTGTCGACTTTTTGGTGAATCAACCTGATGGATTAAACATCATATGGCAGTGGGTCAAAAACAGGTACCCAACACGGAACCCTCGTAAATGGAAACATGGACTAACACCTTGGCGGCTTCATTTTGACCCATACCCATATGGCAGGGTGCTTCCTCCAAAAGTAATCTGGATGCCCTCTTTAAAGGGGCCCCCTATGAATCAACTGGGGGCTGATTCATCCTGGGTTCCCATTACGCATGTTTATATATATATATATATATATGATTTGAGAAAAAAATAAAAAACATCTTGGGGACCCCGCAAATGGCGAATTGCCCCAGCTTCCCTTTGCTCTATCTGATCGAACAATCTGGTCAGACTCCCCGGGCCAAATCGCTCCTTGCTTGGCTTCTCCTTGCCAGCCTGCAGCTGAAAAACACACAATTGTTTCCCTAGACGCCCCTGTAAATTAAGCTGGGCCTACATGAGGAGCAAGGAATTCACAGCATTCTGATGTTGGTTCATGTTTAGTCAACCCCAAAATATCAAATAGTCTTGCAGGAGACCCCAGATTCCAGACGTCGAATCCAAACAGACCCTGTAAAGGCTCCCTTATAGTAACTTACACATCCAAACATAGCACCCAAGCAAGAGAACGGAGGGTACCTGGAAAATAACAAAACAACTCTTAAAGCGACAAGAGATGCGGGTGGTGCCATGGTCGTAGGAGGTAGGGTCCTTCCCCTTACATCACCCCAAAAGGAACCTCGCTTTCCCTCCAAATTCATGTGGAACCCAGAAGCCATGTGTAGAAGACTCTCCTTTTGGAGAGGCCCTCTTTTTGGATTCCATGTCAATTTCTAGAGGAGTGAATTGGCCCAAAGCTGATGTGTGAAACTCAGCAGCGCAACAAAAGGACACCCAGAAGCTCCGCTTTCGATTGCTCATCATGCACGAGGTGCGATCAACCTGGAGCTGAGAAGGAGCCGAGCTCGTCAGTTGTTCATCCGCAATGTCCTTTGCTCGGAAATGCAATGATAGTTGCACTTGTATACATATATATATATATACACGGATGTGTAATATATATATATATATATATATATGTGTGTATATATATATATACATACACATGTACACAAATGATTAAACGCACACTAGTCTCTGCATGCAAGCACATCAGTATCATGTGCACATGAGAAACCCATGAAACCCCGCCCAATCGCCTTCTCCTCCTTGGACTTTGGCTCTTTGGCTTTCTCCTCGGCATCTCGGGCAGAACGCAGGCGGCAACCAGCGCTGGTCCCTTTGTTCCATTCGTTCGCCCGTGTTCCCCTTGGTCTTCCGTTGCCAGTTCCTCTTGGCTTCCTTGGGCCTTTGCCCTTGATGAGTTGTCCTGGACCTTTGCCGTTTGACCTTGCAGGGCGTTTCTATGGCTGGTAGCTTGAGGGAAACCAAAAGGAATCCAGGCATTTTGTGGTACCCCGATCTCGGACTCATCGAAGGACCGCACTTATCAGAGGTTACAAGCCCCTTTTAGTAAGGGCATTTACTATTTCAGGGGGTTCCTCTAGTAATGTCCTCCGGATTCATCCTGAGTCAACAATGCTTGGTGTTCTCCTTGGACCCTGTGTATAATCAATCACCATGGACTACGGTGATATAGCCCACGACTGCTTCTTACGATCTGCGTTGTCAACGAAGCAAACACGAACCCGCTTTCATCCAGTCTTGGGTGGTATGTGCCGAAACTGCAGCATGAGAACCATTGTTGGGAGGGGCCCATCCCCTTGATACATAGAATCGCGGGCGTGGCTTTCATCTGGAGCAAGGTTCTAATAATATATCCGCCATGGCCAAAAGAGCAGCTTGCTTACAGGATCTTCCTCCTTTGATTTGGGGCCAGACAAGCAGAACGAGGATTCCCATAAAACCCTGACAACATGCCCACGTTCTGCTGTTGGATGTTTTGCCCAGCCTTACATACCGAGCTTTGCCGGGGAGCATCATGACCACTAGGGATTACCAGAGTCATATGCATTGCGCTGGGAGCAAGTCAAGAAATATCAACATATTCAAAAAACCTCGAACAGACCGGACGCGAGAGAGCATCGCCGGAAAGCAACTGCATCCAATTCTTGGCTCCGTGTCAACCAGAGTGGCTGAAAACGATGCAACGGCCCCGCAAACCTTGTCACGGCAAATGCTAGCTGCAATAAATGTTGCTGCCAAAGCCCCGGCACATCCTTTTTAGGGGACCCCCCCCAAAAACAAATAGTGGGGAGTCCGCGTGGTTTTCGGCCCCAATTGAAAAACATGGGGAAGATCTTCGGCCCCAAAATCGGAAACGAGGAATAGCCGGCGCGGCGCGCGCCGCTCAAATCCTGAGGCGTGGCGCCGTTGGCTGGCCCAGACAAGTCGCTCACTGTCTGAACCGCGACCAAACACCTGAACCTTTATGTACATATATATATATATATACATATATATACATATATATACATATATATATATATGCAATTATATGTGCTTGTCTAATCAATCAATTTTATCTTTATTTATATATACATATATACATATATATACATATATATATATATATGATTTTCATAATAACGAGAGAGTAGAAATCAACATTGGGTCGTGTTGTTCAATCAACAAACGGCACACTACCAGATAATTGGAGAACCCCACTGGGTGTGGTTCCTTGATTGAGTACCCTTTTCCGGTTGGAAAGGAAAACCGAAAGGAGAGCCAAAGCCGGCATAGGGGGGGATCAAATCCTTTAAAAAAACACCCTGGGGTCGTTTGCCCGAATCCAAGCCTCACCCAGGGTGACGGCAGGCCAAGCTGTGGTTCTAAGGTTCAAGCTGCCAAGGCTACGACTTTGGTTTGCTTCTGGCTAAATTCCCTACTTCCTACGGAGGCTACAGGAGTCTTAGCGCGTGGGTGTGAAGCTTAAACAATTCCAGGGTTAGCTGCCAGCAAATTCTGAGGCAGATGCATCATGTGCACAAAGACGCAAAATGTGCGCAAAAATCAACAATTCCACGCATCATGCTGCTAGTTTGATGCACTTGTTGTTAAGCAACCAGTCTCCTCGAGTTTGCACTGCTGAAACCTCCCACCTTTGCCTCCGTTTCATATGTGGGATGCGGAGGAGAGCCCTGTGTGCGCGGCGTCCTTAACCTTTTCTTTCTTCTTCCTCGGCTGACGGCAAACCAAAAATGCCTCCAAATAGTGAAAGTACATGTGCTGATATCTTTGAAATCATCCAAACACAAGAATCCACAGTGGTGAAAACGACAATCTGACCCCTCTGGGTCGGGCTACTCGTCTGAACAACACGTGCCAACCACATTGAGCCATGGTCAAATAAGCAGTTAAAAATGAGTGAGTTCCCGTGCTTCTCGTGATTTAGGAAGTCCCCCATATCCCAATTCACCGTGACTCTATATCAACCCAATCTAACCTCTTTAAACACATCATATGCTCCTTTCGGAGTCCCTTCAAATGGATTTTGGGTGGCCACCTCAACAAACGTTGCCTCACAAAGCAGGGGCATTCATTGGGCGCGGTTCACCTGGGAATGTGTCACTTGGGAAAATCAAGTAGAGCCAAGATAACAAGTCAGCTTCCTTACAGGTGGTTTGGAGCCCCGTGGTGTGGTTCGGGGTGGTTTCCCGTGCACCTTCTGCAAGAACCCGGGATTCACGGTTCAAGTCCCCAGTTCCCGAACCCAAACCACCAAAGGGATACCTGAACAAAGGGCCCAAACCAAAACAAACCCCTGGGCTTAATTCACCCGGCTGGGTACGATGAGTTTGACCTGACATGGAAGATTTCTGCCAAGCTTTCCCGGCCGGATGAATTCAACACAAGTAAACCCGCGAGCCCGATTCTGAAGTGCGGGTCCCAGCCGGCAACCGAGTTCCAAACGAGCCCAAGCCACGGCCGATCTATCCGATCGGAACTTTGAAAATGTGCGGTTTCAAGTTTCGTTGGGGGAACCCACAGGTACCAACTCAATTTTCTGAGCTGCGAAGCCGCAGGATCACAGTGGAAACCCCTTCTCCCAACTAAGACAACTGAGACTCAAAGCTGAGACTTCAAAGAAAGCTTTCCCACTGGGTTGGGTTAGTGAGGTGAGGTTGTGTGTGCGCAAATGGTGTGGAAGCCAAGCCGCTTTTTGCCATCATCATCGTCCTTGTCCCTGTCCTTATCCCTGTCCTTCTCCTTTTCCTTCTCCTTTTCCTTCTCCTTTTCCTTCTCCTTTTCCTTCTCCTTTTCCTTCTCCTTCTCTTTGGCCTTCGGCTCCTTCCTGGGTTTCTCGTCTTCTTCCGACCTGTCCTTCGCAACTTCGCCGGCAAGTCGAGCAAGAACACCCAGCGAACCCACGAAAAGGGAGTCACGGCCTTTCCACATGATGCACACGCTAGGCGGCTGGTGCTTGGAAGCCATCCATTTGCTCATTTGCTGATTTGCTGATTTGCTCATTGCTCATTTGCTCATTTACTCATTTGCTCATTTGCTCATTTGCTCATTTGCTCATTTGCTCATTTGCTCATTTGCTCACGCAAAAAATTGCCTTCCCTCAAACTTACCCTGAAGCCAAACAGCCCTTGGCTCTCCTTCTTCCTCTTCTTCTTCTTCGGGCTCTCTGTGCGGCTGCGGCTTCGGCTGCGGCTTCTGCTGCGGCTCCGGCTTCTACTGCGGCTTTCGCTACTGTAACCTGGGTCGCGCAGTACCGAACCCCAGTCTAGGTATTGCTTTGGAAAGGACGGCTACCCCGCAACTCGAGTTGAAGACACAAGCTCAGCAGCATGAAACATGTCCACACACCCAAGCTTCAGTTGTGCATGATCTCAACATGATACAAGCAGAACGGGGGCGTCAATCTCCTCAACGCGCCACTGACCCTGAAGCCCGGAAGCCATGTTTCACCAAACTTGGCCTTGAGCTCAGTGGCACGCCCGAGAGCTCGAGCAAAGCGCAAGGAAAGGCATAATTAAACTTCAACCAGCCGCAATGTTCGCATCTGGAGACTTCCAACAACCTCCTACTACTGAAGCCACCTTCTACTAAAGCCACCTTGTGCATGATGCTGTGCAACGCCAGCCCATAGCCGTTGACAAAGAAGGCGATCATGCGATCGTTTCTTAGACGGGCTTGCCCAATACTCACAACCATTGTTCAGTCCTAGCTACGGCCAAATCAGCTCTCAATGCACTTCCCACAACCACCGGGCATCGTATCAACAAAACTCTCCGAGTGTTTTTTTCATTTCCTAGTAGGGCGGGCAAATGAATCCTAATGGTTGAGTTAAATATGTAAAGCACAAGTTGTGCAAACCTACTTCTGATTAGATGGGCCGAAGTTACATATAATAGTAACCCGCAGTTAAACCCCATTAAACTCCCGACCAACCCCCAAGTAACCCCAGTAGCCAATTAAACCCCACTGACCGCCTTGCAGAAAACTTGTTGTAAACAGTGTTTCTAATCACTTATCCTTTCAGTCGAACAGGGCTCACTGGAATTCCCCCTCCAAAGTCGCAATTTACTGGTGGTGTCCACTGAACAACTGCACACTATTGGAGGTTCCGAAAGTCGAAATTGAAATTGAGGGACCTCTCACATGGCCAGCTTTCTCAAGTCTTGAGCTCCTCGCTGCTGTGTTTTCTCTTCTTTTTCCTCTTGTCGTCCTCGCTGGACCCTCCTGCGCTCGGGCTCTGCACCAGTGCAGCCCGAAAATGTGTGCCGGGGGGAGGGGGATCCATGTTGGTCTGCCTCAAGGTTGATCCGGCAAAGCGTGCCAACTCAGAAATGGAATCTCGCCCATGTGTATTATGCAAAAAATACAAAGATGGGTACATGCCAAACGAGCGAAACCCGCCCAAATATGATGGCTTCCTTGTGGCTTTCCTTTCAGCCAACCCCCAAAAACGGTACCCTTCGCCTCAAAAACGAGAGCAATGCATGTATATATAAGCACAATATTGGTTCCTTGAATTGATTGGCTCCTGTATCCTCACTCCCAACGCATTCCCACGCGAGCCGTCTTCCCGGCTCGCGCGAGTGAGTCGACGGTCCTCGTGAGACCGCGCCGTCCACGGAGAAGTCCATGAGCCTTCGACCGACCGAGTCACTCCGCCGGGGACGGCGGGGCTGTTACTTGGGTCACAATCAAACCTGGTAGACAAAAATGGTCCGCCCAGAATCATGTGAAGATCTAAGAAGGAGGATATCCGACACTATTTTTTTGGTTTGGACTGTCCCTAACCTTGGTTTTTAAAGAAACCACCCTGCGATGTGGGTATGGGTCAATTTGTTCAACTGCCGGGATATGGGCGCAGGTTTAACGAATGAACCGCTGGGTTTTGGGGATTCCAACAAAAAGGAAAACGGGAGGAAATGAGAATCTTGAAACCCGGACTAGGGGGTCCCCGAATTGAGGAAACCACCTAGTCGGATGGCTTTTCTTGGGGTTCTAATTCTCATTCTATGGCACCTGCAAGACAAATGGATTGGCCAACCGTCCAACTTTCACCTGTGCTTTACCTGTGCCTGAAGAAGCTGGAAGTTGAGAAACGGCCCTCGGTTGATCCAAAGGTTCCGGGTGTCGCCCGTGTTTTAAAACACGGGCGTCCCTTTAAAGGGCAACACAGACTGCATGGAAAGCTCCCCTCTTCATTCCTCGTTCTGTAGCTATATAGATAACCCTGCACTTGCTCATCCCTTCAACACCAGACAAACAGTCATCAAAGGGCCTTGAAGGTTTTGCCACTGGAGCCGGCAAAAGTCGTTGTTCTGCATGGCACAAAACACAGCCTTTCAGCAATCAAACACTCAATAGCAAGCCATGATTTCAATTGTGTGCCCCCGCGCGGAACCTCTCAACCACCGTCCCAGCCCTGCACTTGGTCTTTGCACAAAGGCTCTTGGAGACTCCATTGCATGCTGGAAACGAACATGGCGCCGATCGCAGCGAAAAAAAAACCAGTTCAAGAAGTTGCGTGATCGTCTTGTGTTCACCAGGGGTCCCAAGTCAAAGACAAAGCTGGGCTGAACCAGCGCTGTGCTTCCCTAAATATATGTGTATATATATATATATATGTATATATATATATATATATGGGGCTGTCCGATTTCAGATGCTAAAGTGAATACTGGCATGGAAACCCAGCCACTCAACCAAAAACCCAAAAAACTCGACGGCTGGGAGCCAAGGAAATGGCATCTTTACAGCATACATGGCTTTGTGGACACCCGCAAAGGTTTTTTCCTCTCCAGAAAAGCCGCCTGGGTTCACAAGGGCGAGTCAGACCCCTGAAGAAATGAAAGCGGTTGGACGGCAACAAGAAAAAAACATGAAACCGGCAACTACGTGAAGAAAAAAACACAAACAAACACAGAAACCCAAACACAGAAACCGAAACATAGAAACCCCAGACATCACCGAAACAAACACACAGGTCACGTCCCGTGTGTTCCATGGCTTCAGCTTCGAGACGCGTCCGGGCCTACCGTGCTGCAGGCTCTTCTGCTGCTCCTACCAAAGATGGATTGCCTCCCGTTTTCCAGACATAAACAGAGGGAGATTCGGCCAAAAGTTGTGTAAGCACGTTGACCACAAAGTTTAAAAAAAAACAAAAAAAAAAAAACGTTGACCACTTCGTGTTGTAAGAACTTTGCTTTGTAGGAAGAAACGATAAACCGAAAACGGAAATGGATGACCACAGGTTCCGTTTCCGGGTACTTTGGCTCATGGATGGGTCCGGCTGGTGTGGGCCGAGCTTTTTACCATACGAAAAGCGACCCCCGCTGAAGACGGATGCCATGCGTCGGGGCGTCCAGGGGCTCTGAAGCACACGTGCCGTCGAGTGGCGCTAGCGGCTGTTAGCACAAGGAACCTCCGTCTGCAAGCGCAGCTGCGAGCTGGAACATTATGGTCTCTCTGAAACTCTTTCTTGTCCTTCTCTCTCTTTCTATCTGTAACTCTCTCCCTCCCCCTGTCTCTCTCTCTCTCTCTCTCCCTCTCTCTCTCCCTCTCTCTCTCTCTCTCTCTCTCTTTCTCTCTCCCTCTTTCTCTCTCCCTCTCTGAATCTCCCTCCCTGCCACTCTCGCTCTCTCTCGCTTCCTCCCTCCCCTTGGCTCCTTTTTGAAAAGGTGAAGATTGGCCAGCACCATGCCCTTCATCTGCAAGCCCACCTGGCGATGTTGGGGGGAGGAAATTCGGCACGTGTCAAAATAGGAGAGCCCCAAAATGGGTGGTGTCCTTTTGGCTTCCTTTTAGAACCAGCCAAAAGACGGTACCCTCAAAAGGCGCACAAACACACACAGATGATCAAGTAAAAGAGCGGCCCAACTGAAACAAAAAGTACGAGCTTCCGTTGTGCATTACTCCCCCCCAAGGTCGATTCATGAGTAGAATCACCAGTTGAAAAAGACTCAAGGCTTGCGTCTGTGCGCTGCACAAGAATGTTCCATCCAAGATGTCCAAGCCACCCAAATTGTGACACCACCCACGGCGGCGGAGAAGAAAAAAAAAAGCGGTCCGGCCTTGCTGCTTACGCCCGAGGTGAACTTGGAGGATTGAATCTCGGAGAGGCGCAGGACAACACGCTTAGAGGTGTGCTTTTCCTGGACCCACTTGGGTTCCATGTTCATCTGCAGGACTTCTCTTTTATCAATCCGCAAGTTCTATATGTCCAACAGCTGCCACAGATCCCTAAAGTATAGGACCATCATGGTGAGCTCGATTTCCCCCAAGTGGGCTCCCCATACTTTTCAGCAGAGCGCCCAAAACCCATTGACTGCAACTGTGTTGCTACCAGCAAAAAACCAGACCACCGAAGCACTCACTCAAATGGCCCCATGAGAATCCGTTTCGGGCCCTGAGGCCCAGGGTACCACTGACCCGCCAAGCCGCGATGTCAAAGATCGCCGGCGCCGGTATTCGGCCCTTCGCCGCCAGGACCAGCCCCTGTCGGGCGAGCCGACCGAAGGGCAAAGAAGGGGGTGAAGGCAGAATGACCAGCAGGGCCACTTTGTCATCCAACAGGCGCCCAATGGAAAGCCATGTTCGAGACCCCAGTCTTGCCTGGTGTCCTCCAAGGTACCAGCTCTGAATCCAGACAGTACTGCTTAAAGTGGGCCAAGACAAACACGTTGAGTATACATATTGCATGGATACGCACCTACACAGAAAGCGGTATCATTGTGAACAACTATCAGAATTATTCAATGCATTTGATAGACAAATATAGCGTCGGGCTAAACAAAATATGTCTAAACAAACCAGTATACGTATCTGTGACTACATATGTTCCTGCGCGTGTGTGTTGATTGATGTGCTAGAGGAGTATCATTGATGTGCATGTTCACATGTGAGCATCCATATGGTCTTTCTTTAATGAATATGGGTCATAGCATACCGGGCCTTAAAATACAATGTCAACTCATATACATATATATATATCTATATTCATTTATTCATTGTTTGTTGTTCTTTGCATATTATGAATGTATGTATGTGTCTATCCCCGCCTTGTGCAGCCACTTCAGGCGGCCCTCCGGTTTTTTGCTGACCACCTGAGTGGGCAACTGAGTTCTCAGGCCGTCGGCATCCCCTGGTTCCCGTCCCATTGACTTCCCATATGCAAAGCGCCCGGTTTACTTGCCTGTTCCACCAAATCGGAAGCTGATCAACTGGTTTCCGTTGAAACGATCGGAAACCACTTTTGGAGGCCCCAAAAAAGGATGAAGGATTTGATATCCCATAAGGTGGTTACACCTCATGCAAGCTATCCGAGTCATAGTGGGAAGGTACACCTTTAAGACGAAGGTGCGTCCTGAGATGATTCGAACCACTGCTTCCCTTCGATCCCATTTGACAAGCAACAAAAAGGGTGCCAAGAAGGGTCCCCAACTTTAGTGAAGGCCCACCTAGGCATCTCCAAAATTTGGCGAGCGATGGGGAGCATACTGACTTTGCGTCTGTGGCTGTTCAACAAGAGGTCCAGGATGTTCTTCCATCCCATATGTGCTGGGAGACTAGAGGATTCATCCGAAAACCACCTCTACCATCCTCTAAATCGAGTTTTCTGTGTGGATGTCTTTTTGCTCCTTTTCAGGACTCTGATGCCCTGATTGGTAGATCCACCTTTCACAAGTGGTGGAGAAGCATGTTGGTTTTAAAGAGAGCTGGGGCAACAACCTTGCTTTTGGGCTTGACTCTGTCTTTCTCGCTCTCTCTCTCTCTCTCGCTCTCTAGCGAGTCAAAATACGCTACTACAAGATATACCCTCCAACCAGCTAACATGGAAGTGCACCAAGGCCCTTTCTGAGAGCAAAGTAGTCTTTTCAGGGTATATAATATATTCAAGCTACACGTCCTTCCACCGACCTAAGATCAAACGCTCGTCAGTTCCGCCTCGCTCTTCTCCATAGGCAGCTCGGCAGCAAGCCGCTTCTCCTTCTCTATCTCCTGCCGCGAACTGTGGGGGGCGGGATGTCTCAACATAAGGCCCCCCCCGAAAAAAAAAAAAAAAAAAAAAAAAAAAAAAAAAAAAAAAAAAAAGTATAGTTGGTTTTCTCTTGGTGTCCCTTCACAACCAATCAAACAAACAAGGGTGTCTGAAAAAGACATCCATGTTAGATTTGGCAAGTGGAGTTGGACCGCTTTGTGGTCACGGCGCACGCAACTTCAACTGCTGTTCAATCGGGGCTTGATGCATCCTCCAAAACAAATTGAACGCGCGCCACGCAGTCAAAACCGACTTCTCGCCGGTGAATTCCCACACTCGGAGATAGACCTTCAGGTGCAAACCACGCGCTGCGCGGGCCGGAGGTCGAGATCCCCAAGGCAAATGGACGAACATCAATGTTCCAATCGTGTGAAGTGGTGGTGGTGGACGAAAACGACCCACAAGATACTATGGTAAAACTCCAAGCCCCGAGCCCCAAACCAGGGATCCTTCCAAGTTTCCACGTCCCGAAACCCACTTTGAACCTGAGCCAAAAGAAGAAAAAACCCTCCGAAGCAAACCGACCGCTCGTCCACGACTCGAGCCTCATCGACTTTGGCCTCCTTCTTCTGGCGCCTTGACATGACCTGAAGCTGCGAGTCTGGGTGTTGGTCGAAGGAATTTCCGAGTCTGGATCTTGGTTGAATGAACCGGCTTTAAGGGGAATTCCAACGAAAAAAAGGAAACCATAGGGATGGATGCCTTCCAAACAGAGGTCCAGGGATTCTTGATTGCCTGGCTTGTTTGACAGGTAGGGAATGATTCAGGGTGTTGGGCCTGGTGATATTGATTCTTGTCAACTTGAGCCCCTGGTTCTAGTCTCAGACCCAGTGCCCTTTGGCTTCGCCTTTAAACTAAGAAACACACAGTTCTACAAAAAGTCAACGAGTCAACTGGGGTTCCCGTTCAACAAGCAAACAAACAGCCAGGGTTCCCTTTAATAGTTGACAAGACGCGCTTTCACCAAACTTCAGGCTTGGTTGACAAGAATCACTTTCAGGCCTTTTTGACAAGAGACACGTTCTCCAGGCGTAGTTCTAAGTTTAGCATTGGTCCAACCCCGCGGTAGACGATTGGGGGCTCCTTTTGTAGTCTTCCAACACCCTCCTGTCCACCTCCATGCTTGTTGGAAAGAGGCTACCCTCAAAAAAGAAACTGGGCTGTCCTCAAATCCCCTGCCAAAAGTGAAAGTTTTACTGGGTTTCAAGGCAACCCCAACTAAACCTAGAACCTAGAAATCTAATGAACTCGCCCCTTTCCACGGATACCGATTTTCTGGCCTCGCCGGCCCACTGCTCATCCACTTTGGTGGGGTCGATGCCGGCCTCAGCGCGGCGTCGGTCTGCCGTCTGGGGAGTTGCTTCCCTCATCGAGCGAGCGAGGAAGGCGTCGGAAACCGATGTGGTGTCCAAAGAAGCTGCTACTGACAACATCCAGGGAACAAAACCAACCGTGGCACTCTGGTCTGCCACTTTGCCCTGTTTGCGCCCGGGGAAACGGCGGCAAACGCCCCGAACAGCGGAACAAACTTAAGAAGATTAGAGTCAATGATCCCGGTACCACGGAAAACATAAAGTTGAGACCTCGTTGTAACAGCATGACGGCCAATCTATGCACTGGGCGCCTTGCGCAGGGCGACAAATATGCATTTCACACTCTGGGGCTCCGGACGGCACGCATTCGCAACTCATCGCCCTTCTGCCGCTGCGCCTCGCTCCTCGGACCATTTCGTGAGCGGCGGAAGGACCGCCCCGCCCCCCTCAAATTCAGGAGAAGCCCAAGCAAGGGAGCAACGTTGCTTTGGCCCCATTTCCCCATTTCCACGAAAATAAATTCACAAAGAGCTGTTCAAAGGTCAAGTCCGCAGATGCTTGGGGCGCCGAATTCTCAAGTCCAACAACCAGGATTAAACCAGTGAATCCACACAAACTGCCTCAAAGAGGATGCATGTTTGCTCCCTTCTTATGGGTCAAACGATCTAGGCAAAAACACAATGTACACACGCAGGCGTCAGCTCACAGTGACATCAAATACTCAAATTCAATGGCAGAAGCAAACATCAAGCATTCTTGCGTTGAGAAAACGGATGTGCATCCAACACACATCCTCCGGCATGGATAATTAGTCTGGTAATGGAAGCATTTGAATCCGACGTGCGCAGCAACCTACCCACTGCAGATTAACATGGACCCCAGTTTCTTCCCGAAAGCTTCTTCTGTGCAGAGCCCGTGGACCAAATTGCAGAACCAACTTGCAGGGGGAACTTGCTCAGAAAAACTTGCTCACAGAACTTGCTCAGTGTTACTTGCTCGGAGAAACGTGCTCAGGGAACTTGCTCAGAAAAACTTGCTCAGAGCACTTGCTCAGAGAAACTTGCTCAGTGAAACTTGCTCACAGAACTTGCTCAGAAAAACTTGCTCAGAAAAACTTGCTCAGAGCACTTGCTCAGTGAAACTTGCTCAGAGAAACTTGCTCAGAAAAACTTGCTCAGAAAAACTTGCTCAGAGAAACTTGCCCAGAAAAACTTGCTCAGAGAACTTGCTCAGTGAAACTTGCCCAGAAAAACTTGCTCAGAGAACTTGCTCAGTGAAACTTGCTCACAGAACTTGCTCAGAGAACTTGCTCAGAGAAGCTTGCTCAGAGAAACTTGCTCAGAGAAACTTGCTCAAAGAAACTTGCTCAGAAAAACTTGCTCAGTGTTACGTGCTCGGAGAAACGTGCTCAGGGAACTTGCTCAGAAAAAGCTCAGAGAAACTTGCTCAGAGAACTTGCTCAGAGAAACTTGCTCAGAAAAACTTGCTCAGAGAACTTGCTCAGTGAAACTTGCTCACAGAACTTGCTCAGAGAACTTGCTCAGAGAAGCTTGCTCAGAGAAACTTGCTCAGAGAAACTTGCTCAAAGAAACTTGCTCAGAAAAACTTGCTCAGTGTTACGTGCTCGGAGAAACGTGCTCAGGGAACTTGCTCAGAAAAAGCTCAGAGAAACTTGCTCAGAGAACTTGCTCAGAGAAACTTGCTCAGAAAAACTTGCTCAGAGAACTTGCTCAGTGAAACTTGCTCACAGAACTTGCTCAGAGAACTTGCTCAGAGAAGCTTGCTCAGAGAAACTTGCTCAGAGAAACTTGCTCAGAGAAACTTGCTCAGAAAAACTTGCTCAGAGAAACTTGCTCAGTGAAACTTGCTCAGAGAAACTTGCTCAGTGAAACTTGCTCACAGAACTTGCTCAAAAAAACTTGCTCAGAAAAACTTGCTCAGAGCACTTGCTCAGTGAAACTTGCTCAGAGAAACTTGCTCACATAACTTGCTCAGAAAAACTTGCTCACAGAACTTGCTCAGAGAAACTTGCTCAGAAAAACTTGCTCAGAGCACTTGCTCAGTGAAACTTGCTCAGAGAAACTTGCTCACAGAACTTGCTCAGAGAACTTGCTCAGACAAGCTTGCTCAGAGAAACTTGCTCAGAAAAATTGCTCTGAGAACAGAATCAGATCGTGCTCTTGTGTTGCACTGTGAGGACATGTTCTTGCGTATAACTCGGTCAACAACAGGGGTGCCACAAAAGGGGATCAGTCTCAAGTCGCATGCTCCAAGCAGCCGCCAAAAGCTCGCGAGCTAGAGCGCGCGCGGGTTCAAGCGCTTGTGCGCGTCCTGGAGAGCATGATGCCGCTGCTGAAGGACGCCATCTTCGATGATTTGTTCATGGCGGGTTACAAATGCCTCTGGCATGCAGAGGCCTGAAAGATGGGTCGGGCTGGGTCAGCTGGCCTTCAGTTTGGCTGGGTTGGAGCTGAGAGTGGCTGACAGTCTGGCTGTGCTTTGAGTAGCTCCCAATGAGGGCCGCGCCCAAGATACTCCAATGGATTTGATCAAAATCTCACGCTGGCTCTGTCTGTCTCAGAGCTGCGGCATACAAATCCTGCCCTCAACGCAGGCTTACCCTCCTTAGAAACAAAAATGTGAGTCTTTTGTGGCCCAAAAGAACTTAAACATTTGGATCTAGCTGTGTCAAAACAGCGCTTTTACCCGCGCTCTTACCACAACCAAATCTATCCACTTGGAGTGCGCTAGCTTGAAAAGCGTCCTTCTCGGCAGAAACAACGATCTTTCGTACAGCATGGGGAAAGAAAGAAACACTTTGGGAGCTTGAGGCAACGATCTTTCGCTTTCTTGGCATCAAGAAAACTCACGTCAACAAGAAAGCGTAAACAACACGTCACTAAGGGGTCTGGTGGTCTGGTGGAAAAATCCAGTTGGGTGAATCGGACTGATTCGGGTTGTTCTCCGATTCGTATCAGAAAAAAGGCAAGGCACCGCTGCCCGGGTGGAACAACAAGCGCGGCAAACGGGGGCATGAACATTGTTGATGGTTTCGTCCATCTCCAATGTGAGGAACATGAGGGGAAGGTCTTTCAACTGGAGTTCAACCCGCTGTCCGCAGAGTTCCACATTAGTGGGAAGGAGGGTACGCCATAGCAAGATCATTGAGCATGCTCTGCTTGTTTGCTAGCCTCCTTTCTGACATGGGCCGAAACTGCTTCTTGGCTTGGATGCAAACATACATTGTCAACACGAGGTTTAACAAGAACTTGCGCGGTACTGGCGCTAATTTTCTGCTAGCCCTTTGGGATGGCAACGCACACTTCTCAACTTTCAAAATGCGAACCTTCTGCAGACTTTCGCCAGGTCGACCGTTCAAAAACTGTGTTTTTGTGGCTTGCATTCTTCGAAGCTATGGCCAACTAACTAGCCAACTAGCTAGCTGGCAAGCTGGCTAAGCTTTTGTTTTCGCACTTGTCAAAGCCCATGGAATCACAACAGTTGAATCGCCTCTCACACGCTTTTCCGATTGCGGCCGAAGCCCGGGTTAGATGCTTGAGCCCAATTTTGTTGGGGCATGTTGGCACGTGATAACCATCCCATGCCACCAGCTCACGCATGTTGAGTGGATCCACGACTCCAGAGAATGTCCTGTCTGGCACCCGCCCCTCCCCGGCAAATGCCTCGCAAACTTGGGGCAAAATGCACATCTTCGTTGGAAACTGGCCCCTTTCAGAGCCAAAAGGAGTTCTGTTTGCAGATATTGGTGGCCGTACCCCCAACATTCCACAAAATATGGGCGTGGCTTACAGGGGGAACCCCAAAAACGGTGGTTGTTCCTTCCATGATGAAACAACCCCGAAAAGAGAACCTTAAGGAAATTCGTTCGACTCCGGAAAGCTTGGGAAACTTTTCCCAGATGAAACCATCCTCAAAAAGACAGCGGGGGATCTCTATTTTTCAGGGCTCCTCTTTTGGTTGGCTTTAAAGACCAAAAGGAAACCAACCATTTTGGATGGTCCCACTAAAAGGACACACACGCCCACGCACCGCGGGAAAGCCTTTCGCCAGGGCTTCTCTCGGATCGGTTCCTGTTCGCCGGCTCAGGACTGCGCCTCAACATCCTCATCCGCCTCCTGGCTGAGTCAGGGGTTGAAAGAAAATCCGGGGGGGGGGGGGGGGCTTGGGGTGGTTTCGCATGGTTCACAGGGGGAACCTCTATTACCTCACTTTAGGGATCACCAAGTTCCGCCTCGCGTGGAATTGGCAAACAGAATGGAGAGGTGGCAAAGTTATGGGGAAAACATGATTGGTGCCCCTCTCCTTGAAACCAGCCTCGAAAAAGGTACCCTTAAAAAGAAACACACACACCCAAATGACTGGAACGGTCAGCCTCTCTGGCGTCCGGAAGAATCCCCCAGGGCGTCAGCCGAATCCGAGTGGATGATTGCAGCTGCCAACCTCCTTGTGGTCAAGAACGACGGGGGTCACTCAGCGCAGCCAATCCAAGTGAGAGCACTGGTCCAGTTCCGTCTCTGTCTCCACTAAAACTGGGGTCTCAGTTGTTCAGTGACCCTGGGAAAAAAAGGAACCATTTTTGGGGAAGACCATTTTTAGTGGGGCAGCCACCAAAAAAAGGCAAAAGAATTGGCGCCACTGAACAACTGAGGGGTCGATTTATTCCCAAACTTCCAGAAACCAACGCCCTTTTGCAGCGGCTTGCGCCCCTCAGCGTTCGGACGCGCTGCTTCCAGGAATAGCCCGAGGCGGTGGGCAGAAAGCGAAAGACCGAAAGACAGCCACGCAGGCGCTGTCTTAAGACAAAATCGGTAGTAACCCCAACAACTTGCCGGTGGTGTCCATTGAAACTGCAACTGTTGAAGGATCCACAAAGGGAAAATGGAGGAAACCCGGGTTTAAGGTATTAGCTGGACGCAAAGCGAATGCTATCTGAGGCTATCGGGCTCCTCGTTCAATCCCTTGACAGTCTCCTTGTCTTCGGGCCTCGGGTAGACTGCAGCTGGGCCGGAAAGACCCACAGGACAAATCGAAGAGGCCCATGTCTAGTGAGATAAATGCAGATACCGTTCACTCAGGTCTGAGCAGCCTACATGAGATAGATGCGTCACCATTTTTTTGCCACACCGCTAGCTCAGCTGGAGGCCCTACTAATGTTTTGCACTGATTGATGTGCATTTCGGACATCAACTGAATCCGATGCCATGTGAGTTCTCAATGATTGAGAGGCTTCCGGCGCTGAAAGTTAAAATGACCCCGCCCCCCCCCCCCCCAACAATCCATGTGAAGGGGAACCGCTCGCTTCAAGTCGGAAAGGTCCCTTCTCATGTTCGCAAAAAAAAAAGAAGAAGCTCGAAGCACCGCGACCCCTGCTCCCGCATCATTACCCCTTCATCCCCCCCCAACTCCTCCCCATCCCCAACACCCCGCACTCAGCCCCAACTTGGGCATTGAAGTCCGGATCCATAGCCCTCGCGCAGGGGTCCATGATAGGTTCCAGGGACGGGGGGTGGTGGTCCTGTCAAAATTCCCCCCCCCCCAAACTCCCCATCCCCACCCCGCCCTCAGCCCCCCAAAAAAACTGTGGCCCCCGGGCGCCATGAACTCCTTCCGGTGCGTGAAGCGGAAGACGCCGCTGGCCACCATCCCTCCCAGAAACTCGCAGGTGAGCAGGGCCTCGGTCGACAGCCGACGGCCGCTTGTTGCGATCGATCGCGTAAGGGAAGGACGTGCAACGAGGCCGGGGGGTGGTTTTGTTGAAAGAACCGGTGGCAGGGGTGTTGGGAGATGAACCGTTGGGGGAATCGGAAAAAAAGGAAATTAGAGGGCGGATGGCTTTTTTCGGGGTCATTCCAATTCTCATTCCCTGCTGAGAATCAGCAAGTTCAGTCTGTGCCTGTCTGAGAGCTTGCACGGAACGCGAAGGAACACTCGGCTCTACGCACTTGGCTCTATTTGCACTTGGCTCTATGCACTTTTGGCGTGCTTCAACCCGATTCTCAGCCAATAGGGAAACTGCAATTGAAACCAAGCCAACAGATTCAACTGAGGAAGACAAAAACAATGGGGGCCTGCCAAATTTCCGGAACCATGTTTAGCAACTGTCTTTGGAAAACGCTAAGCGGCATGCTTAAAAATGGAGCACTGTGTCTGAAGATTCCGCAGCCACGGTACACATCTTAGCCTTTGGTGGTTAGGGGTGGGAAGGGCCAAGTAAGGCTTACCTGAGCATCCTCAAATCGAACCTGTGCAATTCGACTTGAACGATTCACAAGCCTGAAACAAGGCATCTGCGGGGAATGACTCCTCGGTGTCCTTGTCAAACCTTTCTGGGGCCCCCCCAAAAAAAAGGTCGAGCTCCTTTGGGCCCCCGGCCATCCAATTGAGCACGGGGCCCGTGCCTCGATCGTTGCTCGCGTCAGCCAAAACAAACCGCCAGAGCACCTGACACGGCAATCCACATGAGTATATGGGCGTGTGTGTTTTTGAGTGCGCCCTTTTTCGGCTAGGTGCAAAGCGCGACTAAAAGGACACCACCATTTTAAAGCTCCCCAACTTTGAACACTGAGTATGTGGGGGCCGACTCAATATTCCATTCGACCCCCAAAAACATCATCTTAGTGACTTTCCAACCAGTGGTCATCACATGTTTGCCGGACCTTTTGACCAATATGTCAAACATGGTTGGGACAAGCGTTGGAGCCGCTTGGCACATTTCCACATAACAAAGTCCCGGTTTCGGGCCCCGGCGCCCCGCTCAAAGTTGGTTTCACCACGAGGGTCCTCCAACTTTTGCCACGCACAAAGGCGTCAGGCGAGGTGTGGGAGGCCGCCAGTGGGGGTTGCAAGACCGCAGCGGGCCCTGAAATGGGCCCCGAAACGGGCCCTGAAACGCCGCCGAGCAGCCTCCTTTACCTGGGCGCGAGAAAGCAAAACATAGGGGCCCCTTCGTCAGGGTCTGCGTGTGTTGAAGTCTTGGCTTCCGAACGCCTCACTCGTTTGGAACTCAGGAAAACGAATGCCAAAACAACTTTCAAGCAATCCCAAGTACCCAAGGATCTCAAGGATCCAAGGAATGGCCCAGGCTGCAGCACCCCGCCTGCCTGCAACCATTTCCCCGTTGCATGTCTGGTGCGTTTGTCACCTTTCTCTGAGACCAGCCCATACTTTAGGGGGCAACCATACATGTTTCCAAGGTGGTCGTGGTTCATGTCATCTAAAAACGCCGCCCCTACCAAAGGGCCAACCCCCCTTAAACCCCCCTTCCACCCTGACACCCGCGGTTTAGTGCCTTCGACTTGTCAACGGCTTGGGTGTAGTGTAAATTTGGACTTGCAGACAGACGCGAAATGGAGGATTCGTGGCCACCACTCAGGCTTATCCTCATTCAAATTCCTTCTGGAATCCCTAGGGTGGTAGGGGGTACTTGAGAGCCCGAGCATTCCTTAAAGTTTTCTGAGAGACCATAGCAACCCCTTCCCCCCCTTGAACCACCCCCCAATGGGATTCCCTAAAGATCCTTCGCTTCGGGCCCTTTGGCCGAGGCGCCGGGGTTGATCGCGTTGCCAAGCACCAAGCCCAGCACCACCGAGGGGTTCAGCTCGCCTGGATTCGGCGCGAACCACGTCGCCAAACGCGAAGGCCAGAAGTGTCTGGTGTGTTTGTTGCAAATTTGGATGTCTCTCCTTTGAGTTGCTCCTAAGGGGAACCAAAGGGAAACCACGGGAGGCCGAGGAAAAAAAGGGGCGGCTGGGGGGGAGGGGGGGGGATTGGACGGGGGTTGCCCCATACTGGCCCATATTCAGACACATCCGTTGGGCCGCGCTGTTTATCGGCAGCCTTCAAATCTTGACCACTTTTCCGAAACACCTTTGGCAAGTCACTTGATTTGCTGACCCCTTGCAGCTTACATCCAACCTCAAACCTCCCTGGCCCTGGCGGCCAAAGGAAAGCCCCATTCATTAGCCGTCCGGATGCAGAAGCATCCACTCCATTCTGGGTTCCCAGTGGCCACCCTGGGTTCCCAGTGCGTTGCCTTTGATGGCCGCAACGCCTGAGATGGTGAGTGACCATCTCTCATGAAGCGTGGCCAAATTTGACACCTGGGGATGTCGCAACAAGCTGGACGGCTCTTTCATGATAGTTCCGTCGCGAATTATCTATCAAAACGGCTTTTGTCTTGGGGTCTCGTTGTGACACGCCCAGTGGGCATGTCTTGGCATTTCTCATACCTTCCCCAACCTCCAACCCCCAAACCCAACCCCTCTCAACCCAGACCCCGCACCCCAACCCGACCCCTAACCCAACCCCCCCTCCCCAACCCAACCCAGCTGACGATCGGAGGGTATTGGAAGACCTTCCTTTTGGCGAACCCTGTCTACTTTGATTGGAGGGAGTTTATGAATTTGCTGGCTTCCCTCCCATTTGGACCCCCAAAAATGGTCTTGGCGTTCCTTTAAACCCGGCAAAAAAGGTTGGTGCCCTCACCAAAAGACGAGTCACCCAGTTCCGGAACCGAAGGGCGTCCAAACCCCACATGGACGTCGCCCCCCGCCTCCGGACACGGAGCCCACCGCGAAGCTGCCGCCCGTCAACGCGAAGGCGATGACGAGGCCCGCCACGTCGCGGGTCTTGTAGTCCTGGCAGCGCGGAAGGGCAACCCCCCCCGGTTTCCAGGGAAGGCTTTCAGGTGGTTGGTGCTTGGTGCTTGGTGCTTGGTGCTTGGTGCTTGGTGCTTGGTGCTTGGTGGTGGGTGGTGGGTGGGTGGGCGGGCGGGCGGGGCGGGCGGGCGGGCGGGCGGGCGGGCGGGTGGGTGGTGGGTGGGTGGGTGGTGGGTGGTGGGTGGTGGGTGGTTGGTGGGTGGGTGGGTGGTGGTGGGTGGTAGGTGGTGGTGGGAGGTGGGTGGTAGCCATGACAAGATTAAACTGGGGATTCTGACTTTGCACCCCCTTTCTGTGATGCCTGGGTGGTGGTTGGTGGGAGTTGGAGGGGTTCAAAGGGGTCAATTCTCCCAACTTATCAAGATATGCTTCCTGGGCCAAGGTTGTGTAATTTGGCAGTTTACCCAATGTGTGGGGTGACAGGGCGGGCAGAGGATCACGGATATATGACCCACTACCCGCAAGCACACCGCAAGCACATGGTTGGGGTGTCCCTGTGTAGTTTTGGTTGCGTTGGATGCTCCTAGCCCGGGACAGGTTGGTGTCACTGGTGCTGGCTGGTGGGGTGCCATCACAACATCGCACGTTCGAGAGATTTGAACAGAGTGATCGGTAGCGAAATCAGCCTGTTTGGTGATTTGAAGACACCAAAAAAAACAGCTTTCACCTTTGGTGCCTGGGATGGGATGCTTGGAGTGCCCATTGGCTTCAAGAGGAACTGAGGAGTTCCAATCATGGAGCTGACAGCAATTCAGCGTGAACTGGAAAGTACTTGACAAATGTTCCCCCAGAACAAAAAAACAACCGGCACTGGCCAACAAGAACGGCATATCTTACAAAAAGAGAACACCACTTCTACTCTGACGGGGTCCTCTTTTTTCTTGGTTGTTGTTGGGGGCCTGTTTTAGGGGCCCGGGCACCGCGCCTTCCACCGCTTCACCGCTTCACCACTTCACCCAAAGCCCCCGACCCCCGGTTTTAGGAACTCTGAACGAACCGAAGCGCCTTCACCGTGGCCACAGTCAGCACCGTGTAGGCCAAGACCCCCGTGGTGATCAGCTCCGCCAGCGCCGCCTGGCCGCGAGTTGACCACCCAGGTGCCCGGGGGGAGGGACCCGGATGGAACATCACCTCAACAGTATGTTTGACATGCATTTCGGGTTGAAGAGGCTGGTTTCAAGATAGCGATTCACTTTGAGGATCGACGAGTTATTTCCCAAGTCTTGCGAGCTGCGAAACGCCCCGCTGAGCTGAGCAGCTGTATGCGACCGAACAACTCGCCTGAGTTGTGTCATAGCCCTTGCCGGGCACCAGCTTGATGGACTTATCAGCCACTCCCGAGCCCAGGTGGTAGAAGGCATAGACCTTGGTCACACGGGTGTTTCTTCTGGGGTTCGGACCTCTTTCTGGCTGGTAGCTTCAGGGAAGCCAAAAGGAGAACCCCATCCAGAAAATGTTACCTTCGGGTTAGGAGGGCAGCCGCTTTTACTAAAGCAAATATATCTATTTCAGGGGTGCTTCTGACAAGCAGATCCACATGTCTTCGTCACGAATGGGGAAAGCCAACCTGTGCAGGTGTTTCCGAATCACAGTAGAACTTGGACGAGGCATGGTCTTTCCGATGGAGAAAAACAGCATTGGGCCAATGCTTGCGGCCAATTGGACAAATCGGTCACCCAAAACATGTGTTTTAGCCAGGAAATCTTTGCCTACATCTTCGGCTGCGCACAAGGAACCCGCTCAAGCACTGGTGGCCCGAAATGAATCTGGGCTTGTGTGTTTTGGAGGGATACTCTAGAAAACCAGGAATACCCCCGCTTGGCCCCACTCTATACGATTTGGAACTATGATTTTCGGGAATTCTGCCTCATATGGTCCACCCTTAAACATGAGAGTGTCCTTTTTTGGGGGGAGCCCAAAACTTATGGCTGTCCTTTTGGTTTTCTAAAACAATCCCAAAAGGGGTTTCCCCAAAACAAATCATCCCTTTGGGGAGGTGACTGAAGTGGGAATTTTCTTTGAGAAGCGGGCGCGCTCATTGGGTGTGATTGGTGATTGCCAGTGAAGACAGTTCGGTGTGCAAGTTGCTTTTTGCCTCCATCCAAATCTTTGCAAGGATTTTGACGTCCGAACCATTCCATGTTTACTCCGAATTCAGGAGATTCCGGCTTCAAAGCGTTGCTATCAGTCCCTTGAATGCGTGACTTGAACTCTTGAATGCCCTGAGCAGTGACACTGAAAAGTGTGGCCGTTCATCGTAACTAAGCAAACAAAAGTGGCAAAGCGAAGGCCGTAAAACAAAATATACAATAATCTTGGAGGAGTCTCTTTACCCAGAGTTCTATTCTTGGACTACTCCAAGTTAGACTTAAACCCAACGGTTGATTTCTCCAGAAGAACTGATTTCTGGGTTGCTGCCTGGTAATCAAAACACTGCAAGATTTGCCGAGTACACCCTGGGATTGCAGCGATTTCCCAGAGGCCCACCAACACCTGCGGTTTGCAGCTCCTTGATGTCAAGGCCACCCCCATCTTGGCATGTGGAGCACCCGGCACCCATGCAACACCCATCCACCCGAAAACCCGAACGCCGCCCGGGGCCCCGGGGCCCCGCGCCAACCCGGCCAGCGCCCCGGCCGCCAGCTGCGCCCCCACGTAGCGCACCGCGTCCGGGCGCAAGATCTTCTCCCGGCCGCTGAGCAGCACCGCCACCGTCACCTCGGGGCGCCCATCGCCGCACCGCCACCGTCATTCGGGGGTGCCTTCCCCATTTGGCCTCCAAGGAACTTCTCATCAAATCCAAACCCAAACAATGAATCCAAACCACCCAAAATCAGCTCCGACGAAAAGTGTGGTTTGGAGCCCGGCGGTGGTATCGGACAGGGGTTCCACCAAAGCCATCGCCACTTCTGGAGGTTCCAGGAAAAATAATGGAGGAAGATCTGTCTGACCAACTCCGCGTTTTCGTCGAATTTCAGCTGGGCCCCGGGCTGCGGGGTTGAAATGGCCACCGGAGATGTCGCCCACAGAGCAGATCCTGGGCGGCGTCCCTTCTTTGCATCAGCAAAACCAGGTCTTCAAGGATTCCTCTAAAACCACTGGTTTTTGTGGAACTTATGGAGGTGGGGGAGGTTCCCTAAGGCTTCCTAAGGAATTCTGGACAACGCAAAGGAACACAATCGGGCTCTCAACTACACCCCCCCCTTGTAACTACCCTCAAGGTCTATGGAACGGAGATTCCTCTCAAAACGGTCGGATTTTATGTCAAACTGCTGGGGAGCATGCGCTTCAAACAAAACGTCGTATACACGGAACCCTGCGAAAGGCCAAGCTGTGGCTTCGCTGATTTTCCAGTTCTGAAGGTTGAGCTGTTGAAAGGAGCAGCCAAGCTTTCTGAAGGATCAAAGCACCAAATGGACGCCCCCTCAGGGCATCAGCAAGTGCAGCGCGGTGTGAACAGGTGCAAACTAGACATCTGAAAATGGGCAATACGTGTCTACATACGTGCTTGAACAGGCCAGAGATCTATGCAAATATCATCAAACTCCCAAAATGGCGGTTGTCCTTTTGGTTTCCCTTTGAAAACCACAACAAAAGGCACCATCCAAAAACACGCCGATGCAAACACCGCCAAACGCCACAAACCACCATGCAAGTTGGGCTGCCGAAACGACTGGCAAACAAAACAGCGGAGTGTAAAAGCGCTCTTCAATGATTGATTTCAACAACAGTGCAAACTGAGCTTTTGGGGGACCCCCCACTTGGTTCTTTAAAACCACAAAAAAGGGGGCACCCTCAAAAACTGCCGCATTTGTCTCTTTCTACTTCAGCTCGATCAGAATGCTGCGTTCTTTGGCACCTCTCTGGTGGCCCTGCCCAGGGAACTGTCAGAAATGGTGTCCTCTTGTTTTCCCTTCAAACCAACCTGGGTAGGGTGCCAACTCAAGAAACAACACAAAGCAAAAACAGCAAAAAAAGAAAGCCATCTTGCGAATCGCCACAACCGATGGCGAAACTTGGGTCCGTCTCCTCCGCTTGCTGGATTTTCTGTCTGCTGTGGCTTCGATGAGCGGTCCAGAACAAGTGCATTTTCCTGCGCGTGTGTGTTGTTGGTACCGTGTTTGCGCAATTACTTTCGTACTTAAACAACGGTTTCTCCATTTGTGCAGAGCTGGCAGCTTGCAGAGCAATTCTTCCTGCTTTTGAAGCTTCGCGCATTCTCGTGCTTCGCCTGGCTTCCGGCGTTTCAGAATTGGACGCATTTGGCTACAGGGATCAACGGGTCCAGACTTAATTCGGGATTTGCGGGATAGTTGTGTTTTCACTCCCGGTGATAACGCCAGCTCTGCCAACATCCCCAGCATCGATTTCAACATCCTCAGCATCACCAGGTGGCTTTGGGTGGGTTCAGGTTCCGGGCGGGTTCCAGGCTTGTTTAGCGCAAGCTTGGGGTTGGCTAGGTTTGGGGCTGGGTGGGTCTAGGCAGGGTTTAGGGCGGAAGCAAAGAAGCCAAAAGCCAGAAGCCAGAAACCAAAAAGACCAAGAAGCAAAACCTTTACACAAAAAGGAAACAGTATCTCGAAACAGTCGCCCCTCCGCGGGGAAAAGATGGAAGTGTGTCTCCGCTATCACTTCGCTGCCATAGACGTCCGAGGCTCATGCACATCAAGACGGCGGCGGCCGAGTAGGCAGTTGCTCGAGACCCCGAGACGACATTCAGGCCCACCGTGAGCACCAGCACAAAGGTGCCCACGAATTCCTCGCATCAAAAGAACGCGCGAGGAGGTGCCAGCGCTGGGAACAGCCTTGAGGGGGGCAGTTTTGTATGAGAACTGGCTGTGGCTCAAAAGCGTGGAATCCCAAATGTCAAATGGCTCGCCAAAGACTAAAACCTGCGGTTTGCCCCTGCTCTTTAACTTTGAGCCACACCCAACTTTTCTCTGGCGTCACTCGAAATAGTGGCGCACCCACTTGTGAGTCTCTGGATGGGCGCAAGGCATCATGCCATGGGACCACTGTGGCTAAAAACTAATGCAGCTTGGCCTAGACTGCACTTTGCCTCGAAGGATGTCCCTCTCAGCCGAGAAACAACTGGATGCGAATCAAACTTAACACGAGCATGCTGTGGGCATGTTGAGCAAAGGCATACGCTAAGTTGCTTGCTGCCCAGAAATATGCGCCATTGCATCTGTTTGAGACAAACAATGCTATTCCCCACTGAGAGAAGCTGCCCTTGGTCATTTTTGGGCCGAACAGAATATTGATCAACCCCCATGTACCATTGAAATGCCTGTTTCGCCCGCTTGGAACACGACGAGAGTCCATGTTTTTCTCCCTAAAACGAATATCTTTCATCTGAATGGAACACCTGATGAAGGAAATGCTGACCAAGGGCTCACTTTCACACTGCTTGAGTGAATTGATGATCACAAAGGCGGCAAGTCGGTGGGGTCCCTAAAAATAGCTGCCATGCAATCCGGGGTTTCTTGTTCCCCTGGTCAACATCACCTCACCCAAAGGACCAGAGGGTGAAGCGAGCCTAGGCTAAAAGAACAAATCCGCAAAAATCCCCTAAATTGTAGGCATGTCATTCTTTGAGTTGCCCTTTGTGTAGTTTCAGTTTCGGAAACCAACACGATACTACTCATTTTGAGAGGAACCTTTATCGAGACATAAATATGGGGTTGTCTCTAAGACTTGGGGAACCGGAACCTCGAAACTGGCACCGGTTTCCCGGTTTCCCTTTTGCTTGCTGATTCTCCGCTGGGAATGAGAGACTGACCCCTATAAACCATCGCCTATGGTTTCCTTTGAGGGAATCCCCTTCCGGTTCATTCCCAAACCCTAGGCCACTTGCCACCAATCGCATGGCTGCACGCTTGGTTCCCTTTTCAACTCACCCAAAGAAAGACACGAGTTGGAAAGAAAGACGGCACAACACTGGTGCCATAGTTCCCGGCGCCTCAAAAAAGAACGGCCCGCCCCGAAAACCAACCCGGCATCCGATCCATCCGTTGCCCAGAACCCGCTCTCCAAGGGGCCGCCAGGCACCGCAGCTTGTAGTCCGGCACGGGGGGCTCGCCCTCGGCTTCCGGCGCCTCCTCGCCCGAAGCGAACCTGGGCCGAGAAGACTTGAAGCCGAGGGGCAGCTCTGAGAGAGCGGCTGTCGCAACGCTTCCGCCAAAACTTGAAGAGTGAGTTGCCAATGGAAAATTGTTTCCCAAAGAAATGGCAATTGGGACTTGGGAGGATTGAAGTTTGCACTACGGAAGTGTTTCGCAAAAAACTGGAATTCGTCCACATGAGACAACCTTGCTTTAAGCATCTCACAAACTTAATTGATTCGCCCAGCTTCCCTCGCAATCCCAGCTAGTCCAGCGCCAAAATGGCACCATTACTATTGGGCCATCAAACAAGTGGCCTGCCCCAAGTTTTCTCCAGCCACGTCGAATCAGAAAACGTGTCCCAGATTAACCCTGAGGGAGTTTTGTTCGGAGGAGAGTTCTCTTGATACTTCACACCTAAAAAAAGATATCCAAAGTTATTTCGCTGAGTCTTCTGCAGACGAGACCACCTTAGCACCAGTCTTCGGAAGCTCCCAAACAGGGAGCCCCATTTTTAGAAGCCTTCAGACATAATTCCTTTCTACATCTGGAAGTCCATAGGAAAACATTGGCGGATTTATCTTCCCATGGCTTTGAAAGGGGAAGCTACACTTCCACTTGCTTCAGCCCAATGGAAAAAATATAAAATATGTCCAGTAGTGAAAGATTCCCTTTAAAACCAACAAGGGAAATTGAAACAAACATATTATTTTCAACACCCCACTCCACTTTTCCCACCCGGGTCTCCCCGGTCTCCCCGGTCTCCCTGCAAGCCCCCGTCTCGTTTGCGCCGCGGGGCTCGTTTGCGCGGAGCATCCGGAAGAGCGCCGCGCCCATGGTGGCGCCCGCCAGCTCCGCGCCGAACCAGGTCAGGGCCCAATGGGGATCCTACCGCGTCGACCGAGACGCGAGCGAAACGAGACGCGCGTACGAAACCGAGGCGTGTGTTCGATTTCAAAAAAAAAAAAAACGCGGGGCGGGGAGCAGTAGAACCAGGGATTATGGGTAGCATGTGTTGCTTCGGAGTCGACATTTCTGTAATGATTGAAGGGCTAGTCGACATTGTGTGATGAGGTTGACCATACCTCTTGATGGCGCGCCTTGTTGGCACTGACTGAATTAACACTAGCGCTGGCTTTTATGTCCGTCAACCATGGAGGCTCCCTCAGTCGGGTACGTGAGCCCCGGAAACTACATGTCCTCAGTAATTTCTCAGCTCAACCTGAGCGATTGTCCTTAGGCCTGATTCCCTGGCAAAGGATGAATCGTTTCAAAAGATGCTTAATATGATGCTTGAGTTAGTTTCCCTTTCGAGGGTTGATTTGAGCAGTTTTTTGGAGGGGTAATCCTTTTTTGGCGGTCCGAGTCCTGTTTTGAGACATGTCCGGGGGGAACCCATCAGAAAGGGGACATTTCAGGTCGGCGGCTGCGTGGGCTCGCAGTGGTTCCTTCTGGTGTGGGCTGCTGCCATTTCAAGTCAAACGACAGGAAGCAGTTCATGGGAATCCACTCCGAAGTCAACATCCATAGAGGCGTAGATCCCTTCTAGGGCACCGACACTTCGATGTTTAGGGAGGGGTCAATCACACGAGCCACCGAAGTGCGCCGCGAACCCACAGGAAAACACGGACGCGAGCGTGGAGTTTCACGGCTCGTCGACTCACAATCAAACCCGGTGTTTCAAGCAGTCCAAAAATAAGTGTCATGCAAGAATTGAATCGAGAGGGCAAACACCATGTCTGGGAGACGCTACCTAATCAACAAAGTCACCCTCAAAGTCACGCTCAAAGTGGTAGGTAAAACGGACACAGCCCCTCAGACTTTAATAACCCCCAGAAACAGACTCAAACTAATGACCCCACGACTTTCCGATTTTGCTTGGTCTTCGTGGATTCCTCACTTCAAGAAAAGCCATCAAACTTGTTGTCTACCACTCACATGCCAAGCAAACCCAAAAAGTGACTCAAGTCCAGGAACTCATGAAGTGAGCCTTGACAGGGCAGCGGCGGCCATGCCTGTCTTCTTTTCCCTAAACCCAAAAATGCGGCACTCCCCTGCACCCTTTCAATGGGTCCGCCTTCTTCCCCGGCCACCTCAAGCTGGCTCCTTGCCTTTTTTCTCCCGCTCGCCCCGTCGCGTCGAGTCGCCCCGCCGAGCCGTCGCCCACCGCGTCCGCTCCTTGCCGCTGCCCAGGCCCAAGGTCACGGCCACGGCGGGGTTCAGCGCGGCCCCGGAGATGTGGCCGCAGGCGAAGCCCCCGGCCAGCGCCGCGAAGCCGATGGCCAGCCCGAAGAACCTCAGCCGCGTCGGGTCGGGTCGGGTGAGGGGGGATGGCCGGACACAAAGGGGAGGGGGGGAGGATAGGGGGAAGGGATCCGCGAGAACAAAAACAGGGGGCGAAACAAGTAATTACAAGGGATGGGGACTTGGGAGGGGCAAAACAAGTCGAAGTATAAACGTGTCCTGACAAGAGTTGGTTTGTTAGTCCCCACAAGCCCATTCTAATCATTTAGGGCCCTGTACTCTGGGCTATTTAGTAGCTATCCCATGAAACACAAGGGTCCAAAGGGGACTTTCTCTGGGGTGTATTTTGAGAGTGTTGGAGTGTTGGAAACCCCGTTTACACCACGGGAATATCAAGCACAGTTGGTTCGTCCCGTTCGGAATTGTTCAGGGGACAACGAATTGTTTGACTAGGAACTTCTGGATTCTTAGCAGGAAGGATAAGCTTTGACTGCACAAACCACTTGGCAACACCATTCCATGTGTTGGTGTCGTGCCCTTGTGGAGCTTTTTCTTCAGAGCAAAAAACGACACGAAGAAAGAAAAAAACGGACAACTGGACCGTTTGAAGACAAACACAACCCGGTGTCACTCCCCAAAAACCGGTCACTTGACAAGAATCAGTTTTATATCGGCCTTTCTCACCCAGACAAACTGGGACCGCAGTGTTCACACAGAGTCATCTCTTCCCCTACCCCTTCCCCCCTTCCCGCCCCCTCCGTCTTGGATTGTAGATGTTTTCCCTGGGAAAAAATACATCCTGTTGCTCAAGTCCAGTAGCGATTGCTCCCCCGAAAAACCAAAAAGGAAAAATCAAGAGATATTCTTGAGCAAATGGAAGTCATACATCAGCAATCTGTACACAGCACCCACTCATTTCTCGTGAGTTCAGACGCAACTTCAAAACTCCGAACCTCCTGGACGCCTATCCAAAACTGGGCTGGCCGTTTTCGGATCCCCTGCTAAAAGCGAATCATCTGATTAAAATGGAAGCCCAACCACTAAACCAACCAAAGGCATCTCATCTAAAAACCTAAGGAACCGAACCGGACGCCTGGTTCCGAACCGCCAAGAAAACCGGCAAAGCGCAAGACACGACGAACCCAGCGAGGGCGCTGGTTGGGATCGCTGGGGGGGTTGTTCCGCTTGGACACCGCGCAGCTCAGCACTGTGAAGACCAGCAAGCCCTCGTGCGCGAGTTGGTACCGTTTTCACCCCGGTTGCAAGGGAAGCCAAAACGAAAAACAGACATTTGTTTGAGGACTATATTGACACATACTCTTTTGGTCAAAGCCAAGATGACAAATGCCAGAACCAACAGAACCAACAGATACGGAACCAGGAAGGAACCCCTGAAAAGCCCATCATTTGCGGAGGAACCTCCTTTGCGGGGTTGCACGTTCATTTGCCAAAAGAATGCCTGGAACCCACCAGAGAAATGGCCAGATGATCTGATCTGCCACCGTCTTTACTCTGCTCTGCAGATCAACACGAAACCCAGCAAAGCGTCGTGTCTTAATCCATTTCCGGCCCGCGTTCTCTCTCCAGAGCCAGCACCTTGAAACTTGGCCACTTCCGGCCGGCGGGGGTGAATTGGGAAACAGGAAGCAACCCAGAGGCGAAGGGATGAAACAGGCACGCTCCTTTTTCAACCAGGAATGCCCAGTCCGCCGGTCAGGTTCCATCTTCGAGGGAAGGCACGACACCAGGGGGATGGCAATCCTACCGCCCCCACTGCAATGTCGTCAAGCTGTGACATCTGCAGCCAAACTGGATGCTTTTTCAGGCTTTGTTGATTACGGCCGTGTCAAACTTTGAAGGAGGGGGGCAAGGGGGTTGACGCGTGTCCGCAAAGCGGGTTTGGCGCGTATGCCCTTGCCGGAGATTTAGTGAAGCCAAACAAAAAAGGACTTCAACTCTCAGTCACTCACACTATGGGAAATAGCTGAGCAAGGTCAAAGCATCGCCCAACCATGCTTTTGCCAAGCATCTGGCCAATCCCCCATCCCTGCATCCCTCTATGCATCCCATCACTTCCCCCCCGGCCGACCTGGTCACCTTTCGGGAAAACCCCTGGCAAATGGGACCGGCATGAAACCCATCTAAACAAGTGGAACCCCCTATTTCTCAGCAAGCGAGCCAATCAAAAGGACACCTTTGCGCGATTGTGTCTTTTCGGGGACTGCTCCTTTTCTCCCAAATGGATTTCGGTGTTCCTTTTGGTTGTGCTCAGTAGGGACACCTCACGTGGTCTGATTCCCCACTTTTCACCCAGAAAGACGCACCCCCCTAATAAACTGGGGTGGATGGAAATATGGGGTGACCATTCTCCCCCCCCAACTGGGGTGGATGAAAAACATATTCTTGGTCCACCTCCATGCCCCCCATCCCCATCCCCAGGGCCGTGTAGATCATCTCCGTGCCGATGGCATAGCCCGCGTGGAAGGGCGGCACCGGCGCCACCACCGCCAGGTGCGGCGCGCCTCGGACTCCAAGCACGCGGCAACGGGACCCGAGCTGCGGGCTCAGGGCTCGGCCCCACTTCCATCCCCAGCCAGGTGCTGACTTTGACGACCAAGAAAAAAGGCAAAAAGCAAAGAAAATATACACCAAGCCCCAAGGTAACCTCCCTACCTCCGGTATCCTCCGTGAAAGCTGACCGTTGGAAAAACGGGTAGTTGGATGTTTGGGTGTTGGAGAAACTAGAACTTTGGGTGTTGGACTGTCTGTTCGAATTTCAGTATTGGGGTATATGGTGTAGCTTTTAGGGTGTTTGGAGAAAACCGCGGTTTTGCCAGGGTGATCTAAGTTAAGGGTGCTTGTTTTGGGAGAATGGGGTCGGTCTCCACGCCTTTGCACGTCTGGAGATCTCCTTTCGGGTCGGCTCCAGTTGCGCTGACGGGAAAAGAGGGCCCCGTCCCAGCTCAGGAGTTTTTTTGTGGGGAGGGCGCTGTGGGAATGCAAGAATCCCTGTCCAAGAAATGGCGGTGTTTCCTTTTTCCTTTTCAACCAATCTTAAACTGGGGTCATTAGATGTTCCCCTCAAAAGTTGCAATTGACTGGTGGTGTCCTTTGAAACTGCCACTTTTGGAGGTTCCAAAAGGGGAAAGAAGGAAGCCCTGTCAAAACAGGTACCCGCAAAAACGACGACCCACCCACATGTCCAGGCGTACAGGGTCCTGGCGCAAAACGCCGATTCGCGGAGCGATTCGTCGCGCGAATCCGCACGGCCAAGGAATGCCACGGAAAAGGTTCCTGGATGTGCATATTCCCAATGGTTCCCGCTTTTTGTGGTGTTAAACGTGACTTGCTTGGTCGCCACAAGTGAGCTTCCTTTTGGTGGGATGAGGTTCAAAGGACATTAGGACTTTTTATCCAGCGTTTAGCTTCTTGTAATGAGCCAAAATCGAAATTCGTGCAAGTGAAGGGTAAAGCACAATGTCAGCAAATATATGCGTGCAGCCGCCTTTTAAATCTTGATTCATTTTAAAACCGATCGGTGTTGATGTCTGAAATATAAACTCGTGTAGCAATTTCACCCACTTTGCCCCACCGTCATTCTGACAGAGTGTCTGCAGGTGAAAGATCAGAAATCTCTGACCATTCGAAATCCACCCATCTGACAAAGGAGAGACAACAAAGATAAAATGCGCAGTCATCGCTCTTTGTGGCTCCCCCCAAATGCGCCAATTACCCCTCCTTACCCTCCGTAACACCTCTCAACACCTCTTAACCCCTCGCAACACCTCTTAACCCCTCGTGACCCTTTTAACCCCATCCCCCATCCTCCCCCCCCCCAACCACCTCTCCCGTGGGCGCTTCCCTTTGCGTCTTCGCTTCACGTTTTCAGCGAGGCGCACACGATCTTGTAGGCCGCCGCCGCGCTGAAGGCGCCCATGAACTGAAACAGCCAGTAGGACACCACGCTGCTCCAGGACCTCAGCCACACCGTTTGGAGCCGAATCGGCGTGGAGGTCTGGAAAGCGTGGGAAGCCCCAGTCAATTACTCTCAAAAGGAGATGGGTGGGAGGTTTGGAGGTCTGGAAAGTAGCCCATTTACTTTCCAGAAGTAGAGTTCAAATCCAAATCCAAGCCAACCCAAACCACCACCACCCTGACGAGTGACCCCAACAAGCGGTGGCTGTCGGTGTGCACCACCCCAACACCAGCCTCAGAAAGCTGGAAAAATCATCAGGTGCCTTGGACTTTTGACTCGTTTTCTTTTAGCACAAAACAAAGCAACGAGAGGCTTCACCCGGAAGAAAACCGTCCCCATGTCAATAGAGTTGGTGTCAGCTTTCCGAATTGAAGGTACAGTGCCTCAACAAAAGTCCATGCCCAAGCTCCCCACGTCTCGCAAACAAATTGGCACTTGCCTGCTTGAGAGCTCTCTTTCCACGGTTGGCACTGTCTCAATATACTGGGCATGAGTGAGAGCAGCTTAACCTCCCGTGGCTTGCCTGGAGTTGGCCAAGCAGGGCCGGCCCCGTTAAAAAAGCAGTCCCGCTCGCTGGCTAGAGGGATCTTGCCACTTGCAGCTATCCCATCTTCACTCTCTCACTTTGACATCTCACTCCATATTCAGTTTTGTATCTCTGGACCTCTCTCTTGGTCGGGTTTGGTTTCTTGTTTCTCTCTCTAGCTCTCCCTCTAGCTCTCCCTCTCCCTCTCCCTCTCCCTCTCCCTCTCCCTCTCTCTCTCTCTCTCTCTCTCTCTCTCTCTCTCTCTCTCTCTCTCTCTCTTTTTGCAAACATAAATTGTTTGCAAACCTGCAAACCCCTTGCAAGCGCAGCTGATCCGCCTGCCCGCCCCTTCCTTCGGCCCAAGGCGCTTCTTTCCCAGCAGGGCCATTGCGAAGGTCACCGCAGGGTTGAGGTGTCCGCCGGAGATGTTGCTGGTGGCATAGACCATGACCGTGAGCACCTGAGTCACGATCAACACCGATCGGTCTACCCAGAATCATGTAAAGAGTTACAAAGGCGGGCGAAGGCGCCCAGCTGTGGTTGCCTACCCTCCAATTAATAATTAGCCTTTTTTATGTCTGGCGTCAGAAGACCCTCATGAAAGGCCCCTCAACTCATTGCAAAACAAAACACCTTCTGGGCGTGTTCTCTTCTAAGGTTAAACCCCCCAAAAATGGTGGTCTTCCTTGCTGTGTTCCTTTAAAACTGCCCAAAATAGACGCAGTGCATAAAAAAGACAGATGGCAGCTGCCTGAAACCACGCTGGCCACGGGCAAATCGGCGATCCGAACCGCTCCCTGAGCTCAGCCGAGCGTGTCACGAAGCAGCGCGGTCCGGTGGCTGAGCCCCGGACGACTCGCGCTAGTCAACTTACCGGTCTACGGTGCTCGCCTAACCCGTTTGCCGGACATAATTAAATATTCAGGGATGCGCCGAGCAGGCTTGAGTTTGAGTGTTTCCAGCTGGTGCAAATTTGCTTTATCTCGTTGTTCTTCTGGGGAGAGAAGAAGAAAGAGACGATTTTGCTCCAAATATGTGGCCACCCCACCCCACCCACCCCCCCCACCCCAAACCCGGCTGCCGAAGCGGGGCGCCGAGGCAATCGCCACGGGCGCCCAGGGCGAGGGCGTGGGGGAGGTCACGGCGCAGCCCACGCAGAAGACCAAGACGAAGGTCCCCATGGCTGAGACGCGTCCGGTGACGGTTGGCGGACGCCGGCCGACGCGCGGTCGGGGGTCGGGGGTCGGGGGTCAAGGGTCGGATCGCTTGTTGGCTGGTTGGTTGGTTGGCTCGCGCTTCCCTGCATGTGTTGTTTGTTCTTGCTTTTCGAGAAAGAACAAGCCTGGGGGGAACCGCTGGCTTGGATTTGATGACTTGCGATCAAATAAAGATTAGGTAGGGAATGAGAAGTGGAATGTCCCGAGGTCTTGATGAATGATTTATTCCGAGTCTGGGTGTTGAATAAAACGGCTTTGGGGGGGAACTCCAACAAAAGAAGAGAACCATAGGGATGGATGCCTTCCGATCACAGAGGTCCAGGGAGTTTTGTTTCCCTTGCCGGTGCGATAGGTAGGGAAATGACCGAGTCTGGGAATTGAGAAGGCACTATACAGGTTGACTCGCTGGTGCTCAGTAGGTAGGGAATGAGAAATAAAATGAACCCAGGCTTTGGTTCCCTTGAAAGAAACCACCAGTGGATGCTTGTTGTCGGGGTCATTCCAATTCTCGTTTCCTATCGCACCAGCAAGGAAGGGGCAGCCGGGCAGCCGGTATAAATGGGAATGTGAGAAGACTGTTTGGCAAAGTCCCTTCAAGTGGGTGTGGCTCAAACATAGGTGCCGGCCCTGCCCAATGACAGAAGGCATTTCTGGGTGGCTACCTGCAAGATCAACTCAAGGGACACAAATGGCGGACCACATTTTGGTCGCAAGTAAGGAAAACCAGAAGGAGGACAGCTATTTAAAATCCCTAAATGGGTGTGGGGCAAAAATATGTACCCTATGTTGGAACCCTGGAAAAGGGAAACATGGTTACCCCGTCGTGGTTACTGTATAGCGTGGCTACCCCACAGTCTGTCGTGGTTACTCAAAACCTGTCATGGTTACTGTTACTGACATGTCTGAAAGGGAAACAAGGACCAAAACCAAACCGCAAACGAAACATTGTCAGCTCCAAGAGAACCACCCCCCCCGCCCCGCCCCAAAAAAAAAGCCCAAAGCCTTCGGCCTTATTTGGCACTAAGACTAAAAACTCCCGATCGAAAACATGAATGAAAATAATTATCGTTTTCAGGAGCGAAGAGGAACCAACGGGAAACCTGAGATGAAACGTTGAAAGAGGTCCCCCCCTCCACGAAACAAGGGGCCCCCCAAAAAGACGGCACAAAGGAAGCCGAGATAGGCCTTAGTCCAACGGCTTTCCTGGGATTCCCTCCCTTGCAACCGGGAAAAACACATGACTCACTCAAGGTTCACGAGAACACTTCTTTGGGGTTGGTTTAAAGGGAAACCCAAAGGAAACGATCATGGTGGGGAATTTTCGCCTGCCCCTTTCGGGCTGGTCACCCAGAGGGGCTTGGCGATTCACTTGGTTCTCTGGGTTCCCGAAAACTTTTCCGCCCTGAAAGCACGGGAAACTCACTGGGCCCTTTAAAGGTTCTATTCACCAAGAGACATGGGTGTGGTTCCTTTTGTTGGAGACCCCTTTTTTTGGGTGGTCTTACAAGGGGGGCCAACAGGGAAAACATACGTTGCGGGGTCCCCTAAGCAAAAAAGAACGGGAGCAGTGAAAGAGAAAGGGCCGGAGCATGGGCTTTCAGGGAACAGATCCAGCTGGGATCCCACCCAACGCGACTGGGGGCTGTGAAGCCCACCTTTGATCCAACACCCGAAAGCCCTAACCCTGAACCCAGGCTTGCGGTGAAAACCGATCTGAATGTACCAACTCAACAAACAAATCCCACACACGTACACACACGTACACGTTTGCACTGGGGAAGCTCAAGCTCGTAACAAAGGAGCACACACTGCGGACTGGCCCCCGCCTTCCGCGAAGAGAGGCGCCAGCCTGAGCCCAGAGAACTTTGGTGGCGAACCTTTTTGGGTGTCTAAGAAGCCGATTGGCCTCCAATTGCCGAAGTTCCCGTTCAAAAAGAACTAAAGAAATAAACATGTCCCGCGCCAAATTCAGTTTTTAACACCAGGAGAAATCAAAACTGATATTCATTTCAGCAAAATGGAAGTTGGGGTCAAGACCCACTTGGAAAACTGAGCTAACGTTGAAATCTGAGCTGCTGGTGTCGGACAAGGAAGCTCTTGACTTCAGCAAAACATGTTTGCCAGGTCTACTCTCTCGCCTTGGGTGCGAATCTTGATCGGTGACACTTAGACATCACTCGTGGCCTCCCGTTCAAGCAGCCAAAAAGGGTACCAACTTCGAAGAAGAAAAACGAAACGAGGAGCCACCCCCTGTCCCGCCCCTTCTTTTTTGGGTCGCTCCCCAAAAAACCGGTCAGACACCCAGAACCGAGCGTGCGGCCCCTTGAGGAAGGCGTTCCAAATGATGCGCTTGTACTCGTCCGCGTTGCCTTGGGTTAAAAGCATAGCCACACGGAGAATCTTGGGAACCCCGTTGCAAAAGCCAAGGATTCGGATGGACAATGAGGTTGATATTATTTTGCAAGGAACTGTTTGTGAATGGTTTCCAGTGGAGACTTCTCAGAGGACCGTCCCCAGACGTCCGACGGCTGATTCCAGCCTAGAGGCCTAGAGAATGGCCAGCGGTGCCGGGGAAGCTCCAAGTCATGCGCGCAAAGACACGATGTACAAACAGACAAACCAAAATCAAGCAAGCTAGCAAGCAAGCATGCAAGCAAGCAAACCAACCAGCAAGCAAGCAAACAAACAATAAACCAGGACACGCGCACGCTCCCTACAATACTGCTCAAACTCAAAAGCCGCACGCTCCTCTTTCTTTGCAATTCGTTGCCTCTACATCGCGGCGTTGGGGCCGAAACAGATTTGTTTAATCATGTGCATTGCATCTCCGCATCTAATATGGCGGTTTCCTAAGTCGGGGACCACTAAGCATGGGTGGTTTCCTTTCGGTTTGCTTTGGGGGTAGCTTTTCCCGTGGTCATTGCGAAACTGGGAAGTTCTGATGCAAAGGTCCCCCAGAGCGCAAAAAGCCAACTGGAGTGTTGCCTTCTTGGATCCGGGAGACTTGCCCGCAAGGCAAACCCTAGCCGGATACGAAATCCGAAAGACCCTCCCGTCAGCCTGGAAAACACCAGAGAAATGGTCCCCTTAGGACAATGTTTCAACCATGGACATGAGAATTCGGTGGGTTCCCCTTAGCCCAAACCCTTGCTGGTTCGATAGGGAATGATAAATAGCATGACCCCAAGCCGAGCATGGCCCTACACTCCCTCAAATTAACATGGAAGCTCCCAAGGCCACTGTGAATGGAACCAAGTCTTCCAAAGGGTTCTGGAAGGTTCCATGGAATCGCCTGGGGGAGGGTATGATTTTGCGCCTCATTTCGGGAATCCCCAAAACCGATTCACTCAACCCACAGACTGAGCAAGCTGGGGCCAGGCGGCGCATGACCTCCGCCATGACCTCCTCCGGACTCATGCGGGGCCGCTCGCCCTGGCCCTCCCTGGCGGACGGACCAATCCATTGCCCCAAGCCTTTGGGGGAGGACCCGATTTCATTCCTCTCTCATACGGCAATGGGTTGCCATTCAGATCGAATCGGGGTTAGGTACCCTCCCCCAGATCCATACTTAAGGTGGGATGTGGACAACCTCCAGTTGGGATGGATGAAGCCGAGTTACATACCCAGCTCCAAAGGGAGCCTTTTGGAAGACTTGGTTCCATTTGCAGAGGCCTTCCATTTGGAGCTTCCATGGTGTTAGCCTGAGGGAGTGTGCTTGACACGTATCGACATGAAGTGTAAGGCCATCCACTTTCGGCCTCTGTCCAATCAGTCGCCTCCATTTTCTCAAGCCCCCTAGAAAGAATAAGATACGTCCAATAGTGATAGATTCCCTTTAAAACCAACAGGGGAACATAACAATATTCTTAAGCAAGTGGAACTTCAAGTGGCAAACGAGCTTCCCCAAACTGATAGAATCTTCCAAATCCCTCCGATCGTCAGCTGGGCTGGGAGAAACAAGGGTTTGGGCCCGAGTGAAGCAAAAAATGGGCTCTTGTAAACAACATCAAGACCTGCGGTCCGTATCCTGGCGGTTTAATTTTGACCCCCATCGTAGAGGTGCCCAGTTGAAGCTGATGGAACAGGTACCATCGCACCGCACCACATCCATTTCTCCCAGCTGAGCTGTCCGTGTTCGGATCTGCTAAAAGTTTCAACTTTTCGTGAGGTAAGGAGGAAATGATCTTCCGAACGCGTGGAGGTCCATCGGAGCGAGCGCCGGCCTCTCGCCGGAGGGTTGGGAGCCCGTCGCGCCGTAGGAAGCATCGCCAGTGGGGGCGGCTCCTGGCAGCTGCTCGACGGCCCGAGACACCGCGGCTCAGCTTGAAGGCAGGGAACAAAGCAGGGAATGACCCTCATCCCCGAAAAAGGATGGGATGTCTTTAAAGAGAAATCCACTTCTTCTTCTTCTTCTGCTTCTTCTTCTTCTTCCGGGGGGTCCCGAACAAAGACAGACCCATACAGCCTCCCATACCCTCCCTACGGACGCCTTTTTGAGCCCCAAACATCTCGCCATCGAACTGGTGGTTTCCGGGTGCAGTTCCTTCTGGGGTTCAGACACACGACCAGCAGGTCTCAGATGGCCTCTTGAAGCTTATCACTGTTGGAGTGTGAGGGCAAAAGGAAAAGGGGTTCTGACATGTGCGTCTTTCAATTGATAGTGCCTATATTCGGTGGTTTTAAAGGGATGCCAAAAGGAAAGCATCTATTTTGTGGGGCCCCTTTTTAAAAAGACGCACCCATGTTGAGATCGAACAAATGCCTTGAATGATCTCAGTCAGTGGCCAGAGGAAGAAAGGCAAGCACACTTTGCAATCTTCTGGCAGTTGACCTTAAAGGGAAACTCCCTCCGAAGAAACCCGGGCAAAAAAAGCAGCAACGCACTGGAGTTTCGTACCCACGGGTTTTGGGTGAGCTCGCTTGCCGCAGGCCTTCCAGCAGGGAACGGTCGGCGGCTTCGGCTCCGGTGGCTGCCATGTATGATACCTCAGCTGCTCCAAAGCTTCCCATGCGAGCCACGGAAACTCCAAGAACTTCGCCCTGTGATTTGTTTTTTGCCGTACACGAGAAAACACCAAAAAAAGCGGGGTGATGCTAGAGCTTGGCATTGGCCCAGAGTGTCTCTGCGGAAACTCAACCCAACTCCCAGCAGAGGCGCGGAAGGGTTTCAGTAGGCTTCGGGGTTAAAGCCTTCCTTGCGACTTGAGCAGAGAGCTTCCGCAACGACACCGGCTCGGGCTCATAAAAAGGCACCATGGCGACATTTGTTCGCTGCGAATCTCCCAAGTCGTGCGATGAGCATGCTGGGTTCCGTCCTTTCACATTCGCTTCTTACCTACTTTTCTCCATACATTGCAAGACGCGCCTCGCAAAGTCACTCGCTGCCCATCTTGCTTTCCGTGCCTTCACCATCTCTCGGGTAATTTGCGGAAACTTGCAGCTCGAATTAGGCTCGACGTGGATTTCTCCAGCTCCTCAAGCTCAAAGCCTGCCAAGTCA